GCGACACGATCTAAATCCTATATTAATTGTAAAACTGGTACCAAGTGTTTTCAACTTTAAAATGTCATAAAAAATGTTACTTTATTAGTGTTGTTGCTGGTTGAGGTTCGAGATGAGAAACACATAAACAACATGGATGGCCCAATTCGGAACGAGTGAATTGTTTCTTATAGTGAGAAACATGACAGTGCTGACATGACTGGGAGTGACCAACTGTGCCTGAATCTGGCAAACAGGAGGTTGACAGCATGAGCACCAGCTCCTGCCATCCGGGTGTGATGACACACAGGGTGAAGGTGAAGGTGAAGGTGAAGGTGAATCATACCTGTGGATACATATCCATGTAGCATCTTCCACAGCCACACACCACTGTGTCCAACAAACACCAGTTGTGTCCAGTTGTGTCCAAACATAAAAGTAAGACTCCCAATTAATCATCCACAACAGGTTTCCATGGATGACATCGCTTGGTTGAGATCAGGAATATCTCCAAGTGTAAGATAGCCACTTGATAAATCTCAAAGAACAATGAAGAACGAAGTGTGGTTTATTTCACGATAAAACATTTTTCTATCATGAGGTCATTTCTGAAGATTCGAACATGCGCTCGCAACTTGATAACACCGTATATTGGATAACGTTATTTTTAAAGGGGAGTGTCTTGTGAGTTGTTCCCCATAGATTTAGCCGGACAACACAGATAAATGTGATGGCCGAACAATCGCATCCAAAAGTGGAAGAGACATGACAATCGGTATTGGGAGAAAAGGTAATACCGATTAGGAGGTAATCGATGTGAGAATATGTGGGAAATACCCACCTGTGCATAAAATGCACTTGTCCGACATTGCCGAGGTCCGATTCAATTGAGGGAGTCATCATTATTTGAATACAGGTAAATCTTTTTAAAGCTTGTACATTTTATCATGATCCTGTACTTAATGTTGATTCTAATATAAGATATAAACGACTCGTGGTCGTTGTTTATCGTACGATAAAACGCTGCAGGGAGAATAAACCATGAAGCGCCCCTCATGTTTTTTTCTCCCTGTACGATAAAACAATGAGTCGTATATTTCTTAATTACATACAGCTACAAAGAAATTGCATCACAACGCTAAACAGACTATTGTGACGTCATTGGTTACCATGACATCACAAATCAACACACTGGTTATTCTGTTTATAAACAAAAAATGTTGGAAAATGATTTTGGATGAACAGTAGAATCTCACCGGAGTGTCTTTTCACATCAAATATATCAACACTCATTCATAAAAGTTACATCCTCCTGGGCAAGCCTCAGAGTTCACAACTATTATCGTGAAGAAAGACATGTTCTATGGATGAACAACTGCTTTATTACGTTCATCCATAGAACTTGTCTTTCTTCATCACACCAACTTCTAAATGCCACTCAAAGAAGTAACTATTATTGTCTTAACATTTTTGATATCAAAAGCACTCTGGTGATATATAATATATATGAGAGAGAGAAAGAGAGAGAGAGAGTCACCATATATATATTAGAACAAATGAAAGTCAAATGAAGATATTGATGACAACCAACAATTACTTTTTGAAGTCTAAACGATGTTCAGCCCACAAATACCCAACCAAATCAGGCCTTAACACCTGTCGTATAAGTTGTATTGTGTTCAATTAATACATCTTTAACTCATACACTTTTACATTTTTGATTCATTCAGTCAGTGTTATCCCAAAATTTCAAGACAATGCCTGTCAATTATGGTAAAGAAATATCCTGTCCAACCCAGAATATTAGGTCTCCCCGACTAGAGTGAGTGAGTGAGTATGGCTTTACTCCGCTGTTAGCAATATTCCAGCAATATCACAGCAGGGTCCCGACTAGAACCAGTCTAGTTGTCTTGGTAACCATGTATTGTATACAGTCGAACCCTGTTATCTCCGATATCTCTGTTATCTCCAACTTAGCAGGACTGTGGTGCAACTTCAAATATCCGGACATCTAATCATCGCAAGTGCACTCAATCTGATTAAACTCTGATCTTTCCTCCAGTATGATACCTACGTGTGGCGTTCTGCGAACTTTCTAATTAGCCAATCAGCATCGATGCTTCTGAATTCTCAGTAGGAATGAGCAAAGCAGTCAAATCTTATTTCTGTAGTTCAAAACAAATATAACTGGGTAGTTCCGAATGCAGAAAAATAAAACCCTTCTTATATTGTTTTGGATTCCTGTCATGTTCCTGTCATGTCCAATGCCACAACAAAGTTGTGAAGTTTCGAGGGCGTAAGTGTGATTTGTGGCGGTGAGCTTTCCTTAGATCAAAATTTTCAATGAGGTAGTCAATATATAATGAAGTCCAACTGATGTGACCTTCTAAGGAGGTCGACCTTCACGCAGATAGGTATCATATCAGAGCAAAAGATCTGATTTTAAAGAGATGGAGTTATAAAAACAACACAACAAACATAATATGTAAATAAATGTTTTGACAAATCTTCAGTACAATTAGAAAAACTTCACATCCTATTCAAATGACAGCCTGATGAAATATGACAACTTGTGAGATGCGATGACAAGATGCTCTGGAATAACAACAAACTGAACAATAAATAGTCAACATAACAATGTAAATGAACTGTACAATCAAATATGACAAATATTCAGCTGTTTTGGCTGTATGTAAAGGTTTACATACCTGATACAAACTAACCGGTAATGTGAATGAATTACTTCCTATTTCAATTTGACATTTTGTGATTTTTACAATTTACATTTTCTTAAAATTTCTTTATTTCCATAATGATTTGAGAAATAAATTGTCTGGGCAGCCTGTGCTGTCTACTGGATGATAGCGAGGCCCTGACTTGTAATGAGAGGCAATTTCTTCTTAATTAGGTTCAGCTCGGCCAAATTTGTGTTGATGATAAAGCTTTTTTCTTCTCCAACCTCTACATGGTCGCTCTTGTCATGACTATGAGAAAAAGAGAAGGAATATCCTCATGATCCTATAGAAATATGACCGCCTCCGTGGTCTAGTGGTAGAGCGTCCGCCGGAGAGCGGAAGGTCCAGGGTTCGATCCCCGACCGCGTCATACCAAAATACATAAAAAGGTGGTACTTGTTGTTACCCTGTCTGGCGCTCGGCATTAAGGGGCTAAAACAAGGACTGGTCGGCTCTGAGTCAGTATACTGTGTCTGAGTGGGGTATTCATGTTAAACTGCGGCATGGTATCTCAGTGAGCTAGCACTATAAATCGGCATCAGTCCGGACTAGTACAAGCAGCCACACACACGTGCATGCACGTCGCTATATAAGTGCAATAATCTTGGACGCAACGTTAAACCCCAATTCACCTCACCTCACGTATAGAAATATGACCTTATTTCTTAGCCATGACCGTTCAATATTCTGGAAGGGGATAGGGATCTTAATTTTTTTTAAAATAAAATCTGTTTTAAAAGATTGTTTGGAAAAGATTATTTGTCATCAGGTTTAACAAAAATAAACAATAATTTATAAATTTCTCCCTGCACATTTAAAGAATATTGTGTTTTGAGTGAAAGTGTTGGTTCCCTCTTTGCGAGAAAACATTTTTACGCCTTAAAGAACTGACTAAAAAAAGATTCTGTCAAAAATATTCCAGCCACACCCACCCCTCAACATGTGAAATGATGGGCCCTATAATATCTCATCACCATCTTTTGTTTCATGCTCTGCCCCTTCAGTCATTTATTTCGTATTAATTCGGTTTTATTTGTATTCAAATTTCAGTTTCAATATGTTTGACTGACATCAAAAACTAAAATTTGAATAAAAATAAAATGACCCCACAAATATTTTGGCAGACTGACTGTTTCACTATTATGTTTCGTCCAAGGAAGACATAACAAAATAATTAAAATAATTAAAATAATTTAAAGCTGCGTGGTGATTAAAGCCACTGCCATTTATAAACTGATGGTAGTGTTGAGAACTGAAACCCAGACTGACGGATGAAGCTGGTGATATATGTAAGGTGATGGAATCTGTCACCCACCGACAATCCACATTATGTTCCATCGCCTTTTAAAAAAGTTTGTTCTTTATTCACAATCAGTAAGTTGCTTTCTTTTTCAATTATTAATTTATCACTACATCATTTTTTGGGCCTGTAAACCAACAATTGAAAAATAAAAAAACTCACCATCCACAATAAACAAAGATGGCATTCCTCAGCGCATTTCATTTGTGAAATTTTCTCTCTCAAATTGATAATTCATGGGTTTGGTCATCACATGACTTTTGGAAAGTTTGAATATTTCCTTGGAGCAAGAGACAAGATTCCATCACAAAAAACAACAAAGTCTCTAAAACTCCTTGTCGATGTCTTGTTTACAAGTGAAGACATTTTGAAGGTAGGATCCCAGACCCCAGAGAGATCTGCCAGCTTATTAACATAAGACATGGCAAGAGTGATAAAACACATGTTCCCCAGGTCGGAAACTAACCGAGATGGGAGAACACAGACATTGGCTGTTGCCATGGTTACAGCTGCCATCAAACAACAGATCTCATGCTGACTCCCATTCAGTCATCAACATGTGAATTATTTGTTTCAAACAGTATCCATGGCAATTCTCCCATCTGTGGCTAAATTCCTTCTCTGGTGGAACATGTCCTCAGACACTGATTGATAATTTAGGAATTTGATTTTGTAAAATTATCACCAACACCCAAAACGTTTTTTGAATTGTAGGAAGAGAGAGTGAGATGGGTTTAATGCCTCTTGAAAAAGTACATTTACCTCTTTGGTGAAACCCACGAGCCGGGTATGGTGCTGACAAACCTAGAAACATTGGAGTAAATTGGGATTCAAAACCGCGACCATAGGTTTCTAGGTAGCCACGGGAAGCAACTCTGCACAACATATTGCGGTACCCTTGACAACTGAGCCACCCGTTTTCCTGCTGTGGGTATATATATATATATATATATATATATATATATATATATATATATATATATATATATATATATATATACTACTCAAAACAAGGTAAGGAACGCCCACAAGTAGTTTACTGATTTTCATCAATTATTATCAAACAGTTAATTCCGTTTTTGTTTGGAATTTTGTAGGTGCAATTTGATATTTTCCTAATCCAGTAAATATTGACTGTTTGGTCATATAGAACAATTTTAAATTTATTTTTGCATTCTGGTTCTGGTCTATCCATTTAATAAACCAAAAACCATCGGATGTGTAGCCTTGTATCTTGTCACAACCGTCGGCCATGTCTGGGTACAGATAAATGCTTTCCTTCAAACTGTTCCCTTATTTCTTCCCCTGAGGTTATAATGCCCGTGGTGGGTGGGGGGCTGTAATCTGATGTGAGTGATTATGAGGGACACTTCCAAGCAGAGAGGTCGAGAGAGTCCAGGCGTTTTACTGTACTCTTCTTCCACACAAGCCAGATGAGGCCGAGGATGACACAGGCCACGGACTCGATGTAGTAGCCATCCATGGTGGTGTTGCACTTGCCGTCCGCTGCGTGACACTCCTGGAAGACAGGATGGGGAACGAGTTGAGGAAATGTCATGCAGCAGTCACTACATGCAGAGATAAGAGAGCGAAGAGACTGAAAGAGGATCTGCTAAGCTAGTGGTTGACAGTGTGAACTTCCTCTGACATTTACCACCTTAGTGAAACCCACGAGAATGTAACCAAGGTGAACCTGGCACTGAAAACCCTGATCACAGGTTTCTGGCACAGCTAATAAGGGACACAACTCTGCAAAACCAGCAGGACCACCTGCTGCCCTTAGAGACTGAGAGGAGAAACTGAGAGGAGAGACTGAGAGGAGAGACTGAGAAGGTAAGCTCCATGCTGCTACGTACCGCTGTGAGAGTCTTGCTGTTGCAGGAGTCAACACCGTCCGCTGTGCAGTTCTTCCAGGTGAGGAAGTCAACCATCCACAGCGCAACAGTCGCGGGCCAGTTGCCCCCTGAAACACAGTCTCATATACACCCACTGCCCCCTGAAACATAGTCTCAAACATACCCACTGCCCCCTGAAACAATCTCATGTACACCCACTGCCTCCTGAAACATAGTCTCAGATACACCCACTGCCTCCTGAAACAATCTCATATACACCCACTGCCCCCTGAAACACAGTCTCATATACACCCACAGTCCCCTGAAACAAAGTCTCATATACACCCACTGCCCCCTGAAACACAGTCTCATATACACCCACTGCCCTCTGAAACATAGTCTCATATACACCCACTGCCCCCTGAAACACAGTCTCATATACACCCACTGCCCCCTGAAACATAGTCTCAAACATACCCAATGCCCCCTGAAACAATCTCATGTACACCCACTGCCTCCTGAAACATAGTCTCAGATACACCCACTGCCTCCTGAAACAATCTCATATACACCCACTGCCCCCTGAAACACAGTCTCATATACACCCACTGCCCCCTGAAACACAGTCTCATATACACCCACTGCCCCCTGAAACATAGTCTCATATACACCCACTGCCTCCTGAAACATATTCTCATATACACCCACTGCCTCCTGAAACACAGTCTCATATACACCCACTGCCTCCTGAAACATAGTCTCAAATATACCCACTGCCCCCTGAAACATAGTCTCAAATATACCCACTGCCCCCTGAAACAGTCTCATATACACCCACTGCCTCCTGAAACACAGTCTCATATACACCCACTGCCCCCTGAAACAGTCTCATATACACCCACTGCCTCTTGAAACATAGTCTCATATACACCCACTGCCTCCTGAAACAGTCTCATATACACCCACTGCCCCCTGAAACATAGTCTCATATACACACACTGCCTCCTGAAACAGTCTCATATACACCCACTGCCCCCTGAAACATAGTCTCATATACACCCACTGCCTCCTGAAACATATTCTCATATACACCCACTGCCTCCTGAAACACAGTCTCATATACACCCACTGCCTCCTGAAACATATTCTCATATACACCCACTGCCCCCTGAAACATAGTCTCAAATATACCCACTGCCCCCTGAAACATAGTCTCAAATATACCCACTGCCCCCTGAAACATAGTCTCATATACACCCACTGCCCCCTGAAACACAGTCTCATATTCATCCACTGCCCCCTGAAACAGTCTCATATACACCCACTGCCTCCTGAAACATAGTCTCATATGTACCTAATGCTTCACATACATTTGTCAGCCATGTGACACCACGTCTAACAACTCACCCAAGTTGCTCAGAGTATTGAGAAGGGTCATGTAGGTGCCTCCAATCGCAGGGTCGCTGACTTTAGCGGCGAACGCCATCGTCGCTACGAACATGCTGTACACAAACACCTGTAAGGGGATGAACATCATGAACAGTGAAAATAATACAATGAAAATCTGAGAGAATGACCATCTTCCTGGGAGGCGAGTAGTGAGTGTTTGGGAGATAAACATACTGTGTTTTCAATGTAGAGCTAGGTTACCTGTAGATCATCTTCCCGAGGCAAGAGAGTTAACTGACTATAAAAGTCCAGTTTCCACCCTTGCCGAACTAGGCTGGTATTATGGAGTTAGATTTTGGCTGGACTAAGGAGTTTATGCATAGTCCAATCAAAATCGCGCACCGAAATCTAAATCCTGTTCGTTTACTTTCGTGCAGATTGCGGTCGATTGCAGGATTTGCAAAGCATGTGCACCGCCAACTCGTTGTCAGCAGATATTTTCCTAATCTTTTCATGTTTTTAATCAAGGTGCTTGCGTGATTTGATGCATTTTGCGATGTAAAACCAGTTTTATCACAATATAGATCTTGATTATCGATCAGATCGTCTTGACCGGGCGCCACCATTTTATGTGAAGCAAACGCAAGTGATACGAGAGTTGAAATCTGATTGGTCCATAGGAGAGGCTTAGAAGGGACATAACTGGTAATAGCCACTGGTGGCGCTACGATCGAGCCCAGCAATTCCAGCCTAGTTCGGCAAGGGTGGAAACTGGACTTTTATAGTCAGTTAACTCTCTTGCCTCGGGAAGATGCCTGTAGATTTAACCGCGCTGCACAGCGTGAGGATTCAAATGTTAAATTTAGAGAGGTTAAATCTTCAGGTAACCTAGCTCTACATTGAAAACACAGTATGTTTATCTCCATTCTACCATGACCGAAACGGGAACTCTTTGGTGTTAGCAAATATACTGAGTGAAGCGGCATGGATTGAGTCCAATGTTTTGAGTGGGTTATCGATCTGAACGACAGGCATTGAAAGCATTTAACCGCAGCAACTTTGTCAACTAACATGAGGTGGGCACACCAAAGAAAACTAAGCAACCTTTGCAAGCTTTCGTTTTACACCACATGTCACCATTATGTCGTCATATCGCTCATTGTGAGCGCAAAAGATACGAAGTCGAAGTCGTATATAAGAGAAGCACCAAATTCCAAGCTTTCTGCTTTCCCCAAAACTTAAAATACCTTCTCTTTAAAGATTTCTGTTGTGATTTCTGAACGAAATGTATTGCCAAGCATCGTTTGAATATTGTAGTTTAAATATGCCTACCGACAGTGACTGAAAAGTACTATGCTATGAATATTAGCTTCCACGGTGATACCACCGTCAAACCAGCCGTTTCAATCAGAGGGGATTTATTCTGATTTAATAGCCTCTGATTGACCAATCAGAATTGAGTAATTTCCAAATTCATGGTGGAATTACTGCTTAAACTGAATCAGCAACCTTGCAGCTATTGGCAGTGTTCCTTGGAGTCCTGCACTGCACAATACAACAGATGTGATGGGAGACTCGGGCTGCTGATGGGGACTGGCAGTAGGGATGGATCTTGAAATGCAAACTAAGTTTCCTTGGCATGTAAATTAGGAACAAAATAATTTTGAGTTTTTTCAGTTCTTATTTTACATTCAGGCCTTTTCCACTTTTTTGGTGCTGTTATCACTGAGGTCTCCTCTGTCAAGCCATCATATTAATCATCACCACAATAAAACAGAACTGGGACATTTGAAATTCCAATTTGAGAAATTGACAATTGATGCAGTGATGAGGGAGTTTCACTTCTAAAATAGTTGCAACCACTATTGTGACAAAACTGAGAGTATGTGCACAATCTATAAAATTTATAGTGAGTGAGTGAGCTGGGTTTAACGCCGCTTTTAACAGTATTCCAGTTATATCACGGCGTGTCAGCTAAATGTGGGAGGAAAGCCCGAAGTGATGCAGGTCTCAGACATTTACCACTTCGGTGAAACCCACGAGCACGGGTATGGTGCTGACAAACCTAGAAACATAATCGGGGCGAACCGGGATTCAAACCCACAATCATAGGTTTCTGGCGCGGCCAAGGGACGCAACTCTGCACAGCGAATCACGGCGCCTTACACGACCTGGCCACCCGTGCCCCCTATAAACTTTATAAGTTTGTATCCAAAAAAGTACAGCTTTAAAAACCCAGAACCTTTCCCAGGAAGGCTTTAACCAGGGGGGCATGGAGCATCATGAAGGTTGAAGGCTAAAGTTGGTCAGAAATCAAATCCCTCACATACCACATACTTACTGCATATCAAATTTCACGACGATACATGCAGAGATTGCTGGATAAATGACATGCCATGACAGCCATGTTTAACAACGGATCGGAATATATGAGTTAGGTTTAGCAACACCATTGGATTTCAAATACAAATATCATTTTGTAAACAGAATTTTCATAGATGTTGAAAATAAAATATTCAAGATAACAGGTGAAAGACTGTACCTGGGTAAAAATCCAAACATGCAAAAACTGTATCATATTTTACTACACATACCACACGCTTCCTGCATATTAATTTCACAATGGAACATACAGAAAGGATAAATATTAGGCAAAATCTGTAGCTGATGTATGGCGTAGCTGCTGAGGGTGACCACGTACCTGATCTAAGGCGTAGCTGCCGAGGGTGACCACGTACCTGATGTAAGGCTTAGCTGCCGAGGGTGATGACGTACCTGATGTAAGGCGTAGCTGCCGAGGGTGATGACGTACCTGATGTATGACGTAGCTGACGAGGGTGACCACGTACCTGATGTAAGGCGTAGCTGCCGAGGGTGACCACGTACCTGATGTAAGGCTTAGCTGCCGAGGGTGATGACGTACCTGATGTATGACGTAGCTGCCGAGGGTGACCACGTACCTGATGTAAGGCGTAGCTGCCGAGGGTGATGACGTACCTGATGTATGACGTAGCTGACGAGGGTGACCACGTACCTGATGTAAGGCGTAGCTGCCGAGGGTGACCACGTACCTGATGTAAGGCTTAGCTGCCGAGGGTGATGACGTACCTGATGTAAGGCGTAGCTGCCGAGGGTGATGACGTACCTGATGTATGACGTAGCTGACGAGGGTGACCACGTACCTGATGTAAGGCGTAGCTGCCGAGGGTGACCACGTACCTGATGTAAGGCTTAGCTGCCGAGGGTGATGACGTACCTGATGTATGACGTAGCTGCCGAGGGTGACCACGTACCTGATGTAAGGCGTAGCTGCCGAGGGTGATGACGTACCTGATGTATGACGTAGCTGACGAGGGTGACCACGTACCTGATGTAAGGCGTAGCTGCCGAGGGTGACCACGTACCTGATGTAAGGCGTAGCTGCCGAGGGTGACCACGTACCTGATGTAAGGCGTAGCTGCCGAGGGTGATGACGTACCTGATGTATGACGTAGCTGACGAGGGTGATGACGTACCTGATGTAAGGCGTAGCTGCCGAGGGTGATGACGTACCTGATGTAAGGCGTAGCTGCCGAGGGTGATGACGTACCTGATGTAAGGCGTAGCTGCCGAGGGTGATGACGTACCTGATGTATGACGTAGCTGACGAGGGTGACCACGTACCTGATGTAAGGCGTAGCTGCCGAGGGTGACCACGTACCTGATGTATGACGTAGCTGACGAGGGTGATGACGTACCTGATGTAAGGCGTAGCTGCCGAGGGTGACCACGTACCTGATGTAAGGCGTAGCTGCCGAGGGTGATGACGTACCTGATGTAAGGCCTAGCTGCCGAGGGTGACCACGTACCTGATGTAAGGCGTAGCTGCCGAGGGTGATGACGTACCTGATGTATGACGTAGCTGCCGAGGGTGATGACGTACCTGATGTAAGGCGTAGCTGCCGAGGGTGATGACATACCTGATGTATGACGTAGCTGACGAGGGTGACCACGTACCTGATGTAAGGCGTAGCTGCCGAGGGTGACCACGTACCTGATGTATGACGTAGCTGACGAGGGTGATGACGTACCTGATGTAAGGCGTAGCTGCTGAGGGTGACCACGTACCTGATGTAAGGCGTAGCTGCCGAGGGTGATGACGTACCTGATGTAAGGCGTAGCTGCCGAGGGTGACCACGTACCTGATGTAAGGCGTAGCTGCCGAGGGTGATGACGTACCTGATGTAAGGCGTAGCTGCTGAGGGTGATGACGTACCTGATGTAAGGCGTAGCTGCTGAGGGTGATGACGTACCTGATGTATGACGTAGCTGCCGAGGGTGACCACGTACCTGATGTAAGTCGTAGCTGCCTAGGGTGACCACGTACCTGATGTAAGGCGTAGCTGCCGAGGGTGATGACGTACCAGTACCAGGGGAACTCCCCAGGCGCCGTCTGCGCCACGGTCGCCCAGTACACCAGAGCACAGTACACCAAACCCAGGATCAACCTGCAACACACAACTCAGGGTCAGTCTTATCAACTTCGGGGCACTGTGGCCTGGCTGTCTCAAGCATCCATTTCGCTACAAAGAGTTGCGCCTTCCAGAAAACAATGACTGTGAGTTTGAATCCCAGATTCTCCCTGATCATGGATAATCCTGATCTTGGTTTGTCAGCACCAGCGCTTGTGGGTTTCACTATAGCAATACTCCAGGCTTTCCTCCCACGTGAAGCAGACACACTGGGAGAAAACCGTTACCATGAAATAACTAGCATTGAGTGTGTGAGTTGTTTTTAATGTCGCTTTGAACAGTATTCCAGTCATATCACAGCGTGTCAGCTTAATTAGGGTGGAAAGCCCAAAGGGATGCAGCTCTCCTACTCACTTTGGTGAAATCCACGAGCACGGGTATGGTGCTGACAGACCAAGAAACATAATGGGGGTGAACCGGGATTCGAACCCACAATCTGCACAGCAAAGTGCGGCGCCCTAGACGACTGGGCCACCCGTGCCTCCAAATAAAAGGGTAACCTTAGGTTTCAAATCTAAAATAATGACTTGTTTTGAATAGACAATGGTGGTGGGTGAAGAGGGGGGAGGGGGGTGGGGGGGAGACAATCAAGGGTAACTGGCCTGGGGACCTTGTCTGTCTTGGAATCTCCATGGAGGGTGGGGGACCACTGAACCCTCACGGGGTGAAGAAGCAGAGTACTGGGGAAATTGTCCAGGAATCCTCACAGGAGACAGCACTACGAGACATCTCACCTGAAAGGCATGGCTCGGAGGAAGACGTCCATGGGTCGGGGTCCGGTTGTGTACTTGCTGATGCCGAGAGCCAGGAGAATCTGCAGCGGCACCATGGGAACGGCAAACAGCGCCAGTCTCTCTTTGGGGAGTCCCGCCTCTATCAACTTCAGGCTTGTGAGGGAATCCGCAGCAGCAAATCCAATCTAAACAGAAGACAGGAAAAGTCCACATGAATGGGCTTTCACTATTACATTATTTTTAGTATTATTCTTGTTGTGGTTATAATATAATGAGCCTGACCTCTTTATCATACTTGTAATTAAACATCGCCATGCCCTGCCTCAGTTAGTTTAGACTGCACGGGTGGCCCAGTCGTCTAAAGCGCCGCGATTCGCTGTGCAGAGTTGCATCCCTTGGACACGCCAGAAACCTATGATTGTGGGGTCGAATCCCGGTTCGCTCCGATTATGTTTCTAGGTTTGTCAGCACCATACCCGTGCTCGTGGGTTTCACCAAAGTGGTAAACGTCTGAGACCTGCATCACTTCGGGCTTTCCTCCCACATTAAGCTGACACGCCGCGATATAACTGGAATACTGTTAAAAGTGGCATTATACCCAACTCACTCACTCACTCCTTCACTCACTCACTCACTAGACCACCTACGTGGTCTAGTGGTAGAGCGTCCGCCCGGAGAGCGGAAGGTCCGGGGTTTGATCCCCGGCCGCGTCATACCACAAGACGTTAAAAGATGGTACTTGTTGTTACCCTGTGTGGCACTCGGCATTAAAGGGGCTAAAACAAGGACTGGTCGGCTCGGAGTCAGTATACGGTGTCTGGTGGGGTATTCAGCATACGGCATGGTATCTCAGTGAGCTAGCACTATCAATCGGCATCAGTCTGGACAAGTACCAGCAGCCACACACACACACACACGAGCAAGCGCATCGCTATATAAGTGCAATAATCTTGGACGCGACGTTAAACCCCCTTTCACCTCTCCTCACCTAAGTTAGTTTACTGACTACTAGGAATAGACCTGGGTAAACTGCAAACAGTGGAAACGTGTTGTATATGTAGGACGATGACACAATCTGCCACATCAGACATATTTCATCTATATGATGGAGGCCAGGAAATAATCTGGACCAGAAAATCTGGTGATTGATATTATGAAGGAAGATCCACAGTGTCGGGGAAAGTTGACAGACCTGATCACCCAGATCATCAAGTCACCTTGTACAACTAGTATAGGTTACTGGGGACCAATTCAAAGCAGGAATCCACACAGATTTTGCCACTCATATTACCGCCAGTTCCCCATGTACGTCAGTTCTTTTCACAAGGATGAAACCAAAGAATTATTTTTCCCCTCATCTCCATGTGGTTCTCATCAACACAATGCAAAACAAAACATATACGAATTTACCCCCAAATGACCTTGACCTTATTTCCAACTGACCTTGCATGTGAGGAGAATGAGGCAGTAGGACATGACAGCAGGTCGTTTGACGACCTTCCCCAGTATCTTGTAGGTTTCCACGATGCCCTGGTCAGGGTCGGCCGAGAGGTCAAGCTTTTCTTGCTTCAATACCCAGACTAGAGTGGTTGTGATAAAGAACACCACGCCCCAGAATGTAAGAAAACCTGCAAAAGCAAATCTATAATTCATTACTGTTGAAAACTGCCTAGTCACATGAATCAAAATAACTACTACTTAAATTTACACACATACTTATAAGAAGAGAAGCTTCTTTCATATCACTACAGTTAATCTGTCGAATTAGGTTAGCTACAGTAAAACGAAAGAAGTGGGTGGTAGTTAAAATAGCTGCAAAATCCGGTCACAGAGAAATCACGTAACAGATACTCAGTCACGTGTTTGTTGTGGGTTCTTAAGGATCTCTCAACTTTAAAAGATTTAAGAACTGGGTATTTTTTTCATCTTAAATATGTTTCAACATATACATGACAGTGAGATTTATGACCATGTTCACCAAATGTGTTTCTTTCACATCTATATCATTAATATCAGATACAAGAACAAGACTTTGTGAGATGCGCATGTCTTATCCCTGATATGCGACATTTACGTTACAGACAAACCCTAGGATTATACTATTTTAGGTGAAAAGTGTAATTCTGTAAATAAGCAAAGCATAAGAAGTATTTTCACTCCCAGAGAGCATGCTGGAGTCTGTGAAGGTGAAGTCTACATTCCAATTCCATCTCACGACATCAGGCACATTGACAATGCTTCACAGTTTTGGTAAACTTCCATCCTCCACCTCCCCTGAACGATGCTGAATACATACGACCACTTTAACACTGCAGGGCTTTGTCTAGGATTCTTAACTTAGTGATCCTGGCATGCAATATGGAAAAAAATCATTATTTTATTCAAACTTGCCCTTTTTTAAAGTTTTCATTTTCTTAAATTCAGAGGCTTTTTAACATTGCATTACGATACTGCATTGAGTGCTATAGTATAATAATAAACTTATCAAAACCAGGGGGCACTGGTGGCCCAGTCGTCTAAGGCGCCGTGATTCGCTGTGCAGAGTTGCGCCCCTTGGGCACGCCAGAGACCTATGATTGTGGGTTCGAATTCCGGTTCGCCCCAATTATGTTCTACATCATTTTGACCCCAATCTCATTAAAATAAGATCTTAGTTCTCGTTGCCGTTAAACAAAGATCTGAGGACATCCCATTACGGGTCACGTCAGACCGACCTTGCGCGAACTTTGACCGACCAATGGAATGACCAATCAGAAGGCAGCTTTCCCGTGCTTTACAGCACTAATTTCAAATTGGCAGCTATGCTTCGAAAACATATTTTGACAAATTCTCGATTACGATTTTGAAACCTGAACAAAAGAGCATTCTGGAATGGCTAATAGATGGTTTAGATTGTATGGATTCAGTCGTTAAACCTAAAACTATCGTTCGGAATATCCCGTGTTAAAGTTTTCGAGGTTGCATAAAAATGAGAAATCACATTCCGACTGTCACTTTCAGTCTGGTAAGTGACGCTCTGATTCGTCGGATGAAAGGTCGTTCAGACGTGACCCCTGATGGGATGTCTTCAGATCTTTGTTTAGCGGTAGCGAGAACAAAGGTCTGATTTTAATGAGATTGTTTTGACCCTGTAATCTTGATTGTTTGACTGCATGATCATTTATGACTATCCTCACTACAATCCATCCCAATGAACTAAACAAAGACGCAAGCTCTACTGTTCATAAAGGTAATCCCTAACTCTCAACAACATGTGGCCATATCATCTGTTAAATCACTCCTACCGCTATTAGACAGTGCAACAGCTGATCCCCCAAACAGCCCATGACTACAATGTGCAAGTCTACACGTTCACCTGATTGTCTATAAACTCCACCAGAAACACAGTTGTTGTTGACACTGATCTAGCTTACTCTCATCATCATAATCATCATATCATAGGATGATGGCTGTCCTATAACATTTCTTATTTATATTAATAAATTGGACAAATCCATACCTGAGTGTGGCTAGTAGTGTCTACTGTGACCTACCCGAGAGAGTGACTAACCCCTGTGTCTACAGTGACCTACCCAAAAGTGACTAGCCCTTGTCTACTGCGACCTACCTGAGAGATTGACTAGCCCCTGTGTCTACAGGGACCTACCCAAAAGTGACTAGCTCTTGTCTACTGCGACCTACCTGAGTGAGTGACTAGCCCCTGTGTCTACAGTGACCTACCCAAAAGTGACTAGTCTCTGTGTCTACTGAGAGAGTGACTAGTCCCTGTGTCTACTGCAAACCTACCTGAGAGAGTGACTAGTCCCTGTGTCTACAGTGACCTACCTGAGAGAGTGACTAGCCCCGGTGTCTACAGTGACCTACCTGAGAGAGTGACTAGTCCCTGTGTCTACTGTGACCTACCTGAGAGAGTGACTAGCCCCGGTGTCTACAGTGACCTATCCAAGGGTGACTAGTCCCTGTGCCTACTGCGACCTACCTGAGAGAGTGACTAGTCCCTGTGTCTACTGTGACCTACCTGAGAGAGTGACTAGCCCCGGTGTCTACAGTGACCGACCCAAGAGTGACTAGCCCCTGTGTCTACTGCGACCTACCTGAGAGAGTGACTAGCCCCGGTGTCTACAGTGACTGACCCAAGAGTGACTAGCCCCTGTGTCTACTACGACCTACCTGAGTGTGGCTAGTCGTGTCTACTGTGACCTACCCGAGAGACTGACTAGCCCTTGTCTACTGCGACCTACCTGAGAGAGTGACTAGCCCCTGTGTCTACAGTGACCTACCCAAAAGTGACTAGTCCCTGTGTCTACTGAGAGAGTGACTAGTCCCTGTGTCTACTGCAAACCTACCTGAGAGAGTGACTAGTCCCTGTGTCTACAGTGACCTACCTGAGAGAGTGACTAGCCCCGGTGTCTACAGTGACCTACCTGAGAGAGTGACTAGTCCCTGTGTCTACTGTGACCTACCTGAGAGAGTGACTAGCCCCGGTGTCTACAGTGACCTACCTGAGAGAGTGACTAGCCCCGGTGTCTACAGTGACCTACCTGAGAGAGTGACTAGTCCCTGTGTCTACTGTGACCTACCTGAGAGAGTGACTAGCCCCGGTGTCTACAGTGACCTGTCCAAGAGAGACTAGTCCCTGTGTCTACAGTGATTGACCTGAGAGAGGGACTAGTCCCTGTGTCTACAGTGACCTACCTGAGGGAGTGACTAGTCCCTGTGTCTACTGTGACCTACCTGAGAGAGTGACTAGTCCCCGTGTCTACAGTGACCTACCTGAGGGAGTGACTAGTCCCTGTGTCTACAGTGACCTACCTGAGAGAGTGACTAGTCCCTGTGTCTACAGTGACCTACCTGAGAGAGTGACTAGTCCCTGTGTTTACTGTGACCTACCCGAGAGAGTTGCTAGTCATGTCTACTGCGACCTACCTGAGAGAGTGACTAGTCCCTGTGTCTACAGTGACCTACCCGAGAGAGTCGCTAGTCATGTCTACTGTGACCTACCTGAGAGAGTGACTAGTCCCTGTGCCTGTGGCACGGACCTTAGATAGTTGTTGCAGAACTCGGGCGACTCCAGCGCCAGGAAGAGGACGTTGCCCAGAAAGTAGCCAGTAGTCTGACCGACAGAGTTGCATGTACTTGCCCAACCGACATTACGCCTGCAAATAAAGTTCCTCCAACCTTAATGTCCACACAAAGACACCCCACTCCAACCCAAACCCACTCCTCCCCGACCCAAACCCACTCCTCCCACACTCAAACACACACACACACCCCTCCCCACACAATCACACCCATCTTCCACACACAAACACACACCCACCCCCCACACACCCCTCCCCTGACCAAACACACACACAAACACATGTATTTTTTTTAATTTCCTAATTTTTTTAAACTAAATATATTATTTATATATTACATGCTGCCAGAAAGTCAAGCAGGTGAAGAAGAATTTCCTCTGCTATCTAAGCAGATTCTGGTATCACGGAAGCCTACATCGTTATGCATTGTTTATATCATGTCCAGGCATGGAATAATCAACAACACTCACAGACCTTGGGGCCGTTCCACAAAGCAATCTTAGCACTAAGGTGATCTTAAGTCCCATACTTTAACATAGGTTTACGATCATCATAGTGCTAAGATCGCTTTGAGGAACGGGGCCCTAACACCCACATCTCCCAGTCTCCTCACCTCGATAGCATCGTCAGCGCCCAGCCATCCACGGCGATGTCTTGTGTAGCCGCCAGGAAGTTCAACATGAAGAATATAACGGTCAGCAGCATCACACTCACTTGAGCGTCCTCGTCACCATCTCCAAGAATGTCCTTGATATGCCACGACAACACAATCATAAACACGCCTATCAGGTACTGGGTCGGCACCAGCCATGTCTTCCGCCGCCCAAACTGAAGCCAGTATATAGAATCCACCAACGGCGCCCAAAGCAGTTTTACACTAAACGGCCAATACACAAAACTAAACAACGCCTGTTCTTTGTAACTTACCTGCCTACTTTGTAACAACATTGGGATGCTACCAGCCAAGCCTAAAGGAATACCTTGTAGAATGTATAAGAATGTCAACAGAGCTATGCTTCCATAGTCCCCCTCTAAATTGCTGCCCTCTTTTAACGTTTTGTCTTCATCGTCATACAAGTCTGGTTGAACAACAGAGGTCGAGATGGGAATATGAGGTCCTATGAAGTCACTTTCAGGGTCCACCCCGTCTATAAGATGCCGCCCTCCTTTCCTGGGGCGAGCGTTGCCTTTGTTGACGGCCATGTTGGCTGCTATCTCGGGCATGAGAATGTACTCGTCAAGAAAAAACTTGAGCTTTCTTGCAAGAAATATCAGCATATATATCAGTCAGATCACATCAATCTGAAAAAAAAAGCATCGTGGGTTATTGTTGTTTGGATCATAATAATACATAAACAAAACCAATAATTTTACAAGCAATTCTTGGGCTGCACACATTAACTGTCAATTTTGTCGAACTAGAAATGACAAATTGTAAAGGTACCAAAACATTGGAAATATTGTTCTAAACATGATAAACGTTATCAGACAAATTCAAATGGCTGACAACCAGTGTTTTGTTTCTCTTTTTATCAACTGCAAAGTTTCTGATAAAGTACAAATGTGTGTATAGTGTGTGAAAAAGGATGATTTTTTTAGCTTCAACACTGAACGAAAAAACATAATACTGGTAATAGACGAGGAGAAAGGATACTGTAAGAGAAAACCAGAGCCCCAGATAACTTTTTGTTCAATTGAGTTTTTACTCGAAGGTTTCTATTTTAATTTGGTTATTACATTTTTCATTGGGTAACCAATATTTTTTCACTTATCTAGTCATCACTCAATTGGGTTGGGTTTTTTAGTGAACATTTTAAGATTTTAAAAAAATGCAATCATGTTTTAGATGTATATAAGTGTTCTAATATATAGGCTTGACTTGGAAAGTAAATTAGCTCGTAATTTTGTTTCGGAAATTAGCTTCTTTGTGCACATGCTGAAAAGGCTTCATTGGGTATTTCCGCGAGCTGTTTTTATACATTTGAGTTTTTCATTTAATTATGTGTTTTTATACGCAAGTTAATTGAGAGTAATTGGGTTTTGAATATTTGGGGGGGGGGGGGGGGGGGATTTTACGCAAATATGCTGCTTATCTGTAGTTCTGAAAAGGCCCAGGACCAAAGATGGATCTTTTAACATTTTTGAACTCATTCAGCAGCACAGTCACCGGCTCCAAGCAAACAACACTGTCATCATGATATGTTTCGGGTCAGTAAGAACTTGGTTTGATAACAACGCAAACAAAGGTTAAAATTAAACTGACCAGCAAAGTTATGTAAGAAATGTTATGTAGTTTTATTTCAATAGACATAAAACCCACAGCTTACTGGCTCAATACTGGCTTGATACTGGCCCCATAACGCGAGAAATAAACTGAGTTCTGGTTCTTTGTGTGAGGCAACAAGTAGGACAAGCAGACAATTAAGATGAATGCATGGATTGAGCTGTTGAATTCTGTCAATCAGTATCCATTGTCATGTTCTTCATAATATAAATATAATCTCTACAAATTATTACAATGTCTCATTAACATGTATTCCAGTTATATCACGGCGTGTCAGCTTAATGTGGGAGGAAAGCCCGAAGTGATGCAGGTCTAAGACGTTTACCACTTCGGTGAAACCCACGAGCACGGGTATGGTGCTGACAAACCTAGAAACATAATTGGAGCGAACCGGGATTCGAACCCACAATCATAGGTTTCTGGCGTGCCCAAGGGACGCAGCTCTGCACAGCGAATCGCGGCGCCTTAGACGACTGGGCCACCCGTGCCCCCCTGTATAATAGGAGCTAATGGGACCGATGTATTGTGATATATTGTGATGTATTGTGATATATTGTGATGTATTGTGATATATTTCCGTATATTCTGATATAATGTGGTATATTGTGGTATATTGTGATATATTGTGGTATATTGTGATATATTGTGGTATATTCTAATACATTGTGGTATATTGTGATATATTGTGGTATATTGTGATATATTACCGGTACATATCTTTAACATGTTCTAGCTTCCAATGATTAACATGATAAAATAAATTATTACATGTAAACAATACAGCTCTGATGTAATTAAACAGATATTCACTGTTTGCGGATGTTGTCACTAATTCTGCTGACATTACCATCATCAGTAGCACATATAGCCCCTGAGATAATTTACTCCAAGATGTAACCATACATGATGACATCAACCCAAACAGAAACATAATATTCAATTCATAATACAATGCCTGTGTGTAATGTCAGCTCAATGAGATTGTCTGTACTCGGGCTTGGACAGCTAACTGGGTAAGGTGGGTACTGAGTAGGACCTGTGCTTAGTCTTGTGATATACTGTTTAATGACAAAATTATCTGGCACTTCATGGCTACACTACAAGTCACTTATGTTCACATTTCTATCTGACCATGCACCCATTCCTTCTTACTTTATATGTTTGAATAAAGATCAAACTTCAGTCAAATTCAGTGTATGCATGACCAGGTATTTATATGTGTACCTAAATACATTTTGTCCAGGGCTTTGGTCAAACTATTCCCAATCGGACATTTTGTAGCTATCAGGGTCGGGTAATAGCGGGGTGGGTACCTGGACAGTAAATGTGGACTCGTCACTGCCCTGTACAATACTACATGACATGTGCTCCACCATTTAATCTGCAGGTAATGCCTGGCTCAACATATGTTAGCTTGTAGCTTGGGATGGGTTTGCTTGTGTCAGTTCTCATTAGATTTGAATTAAGTGACCACCATATACCACTGCACTCTAAGGCGATATCATTTCTGCCCGTCTGCTTCAGGAGTCTCGTGGTCAGTTGGTATGCGATCAAACAGACAAATCACCATAACTTGCATAAGCTGAAATTACTACTGCAACAGCAGTCGTTTAATACCAAAACCTATCCACACGCAATACCTAAACGTATACTTTATGACACAAAACAGGTAAAATAAAATGTTACTTTTTTTGTTAGTGAACGTGACTTGATCTACTGAACACGACAATATTGACATATGGGGAATGACTTGCAATCTTCACCCACTCTCAGCATATGCCCCGGGTATTTCTTTCAGAAAACATGTCCTTTCTAACAAACCTCCCACGGCCGCCAAGTATTGTAGTAGATGACCTGTGTTTTCAAAACACACAAATTATGGCGTTACAACACATGGATACTTACGATTGTTTATAGCGCGTCTAATAAACGTGGCATCAATCCATCGGCTGAAAGCCCGGAAGTAAACATACCGGCGGTATCGAGCTCCTTACTGCGTCATTTGTGCGACAACTCAGAGAAGTTTTGAGTTCAAATGGCGGGTAATTTAAATAATAATCATCTCGTGGTGTTTAATTTTTGGTGGTTGCGAAAGCTTGATTGTTTAACATCACAATTGTAGTTGATGTACAAATGAGCTATGTAGCTTGGTCTAGATCAAATGTGCGAACATTCTGCGGAAATCGAGTAATGGCTAGACCTTTCGGGAGTTAGGCGACCAGCAGAATCACAGTAAACCAAACAATCAGACTTTGCCTTCTCCGGAGGAGGAGGGGGAGACGTAGGGTATTTTCACTGCCTTGACTGTTGTGTGGGGATAGTGGTGAACCCAAGACTCATCCACGGTTTTCAAATCGCCCAACAAAATCAGCTTGGTCTGCTTCAAAATGCTACTGCTTGACACACACACACACACACACACACACAAACACACACACACACACACACACACTCTCTCTCTCTCTCTCTCTCTCTCTCTCTCTCTGTGCATTTTATACAACAATTAATATACACTTCTTGTCATCCTTGTTTCCTGGTATAACCCTACACTTGTGTAATTGTCGTCATTCACTTCATGCCCAGTTATAAATAATAACTTATAAAGTCATTAAAGGTACAACGAGTGGCAGAATCACTCAGATTACCTGACAAAGACTATTCAAACATTCACCCCTGCCTCTGAGGGTGTTAGCAATCAGTGGTTCGCATTTGGCATTTCTCGTCGTCTGGAGTTATTATTCCATCTAAGGCTGGGTTATACACATGTTATAAATCCAGGTCTGGTGAATGTATTACAGTAAACTACGTTTATAACGAACACGCTTATAACGAACTCACCGATATAACGAACTTTTTTTCAGTACCGGCCATTTGTGTTATATATGCTGTATATATGCTTATAACGAACTACGGTTATAACGAACTAAAATTAGTGTCCCTTTGAGTTCGTTATAACCGTAGTTTACTGTATATGTTACATAATATGTACGTTCGTGGCAGATGTTTTCGAAATTATTCTGAACATTTTAGGCATGTTTCAATTACAATGTCGGCTGTAAAGTGTAAACATCCCTTCAGGTATTAATATTTCCTCGAGCTGTAGACACGGTATAGTTAATACGATAACTTTAAAAATATAATATAATATAATATAATATAATATAATATAATATAATATAATATAATATAATATAATATAATATAATATAATATAATATAATATAATATAATAAATCTGTTACAAATATTCTTTTAAGTCATCTTTCACCAATATTATAAAGGAACACGTGGCATAAAACTTAGACGCGTGTGTTGGGAGTAGGGTTGGAGGGTATCTTTGAGACCCACATAATCACACTGATTTATAGTTACGCTTAGTTTTAGACTTTACATACCGATGATCGGATAATGGCTTTTACAATGGATCCACATAGAACCACCCGATAATCTCCTACTGAAGCATCAGTTTCGCATCACGGTTACCATGGTTACAAGTGGTTGGTAATTAGCACTGACAGATGTAAGAATGGACATTGCAAGGGGCAAGTTGAAGCCAGCTAGGCAATTAGCCCCGACATAGGTCAAAGCAATAAGTCCATTCTAACACCTAATTCTAATTACCCACACACCCCACCCCACCACCACCACCAGTTGCCCAATGTCTATTACCAATAAGTGTTGGCTTCCATTGTCTATTGCTAATAACTTAAGTGTTAAAGTGTTCCTCATAATAAAGAAGTTAACATCCATATATTCTCTTCCTTATGTGAATCACTTCTAAATGACTTTCAAAGACATGTTGTACATATGCCTAAACTAACTGACATATCTCTTGTGTAGTTTTGATCAGATCACCGTTAAACATATGTAAATGAGAAAATTCATCCCTTCGCTTCTTTCACTACACGTACAATTAAGATTTCAGTACAACATATATGCGCAACCCACCTTTTTATTTCGAAAAAAATCTTTATTTCTGTATAGATCTTAGTTGTGCACCCCCCATTTTCAAAAAAGCTGTATCCGCCTCTGGTTCGTATATGTGGCGGTCTTAAATTGACAATATCTAATATTCCAAAGTTTTTAAATGTACGCATATTGTCATATTTAGTTTAATCGGGATTATATATATTGATCAAAGTATTCCAATGGAAGGCCTGAAGCGTATTGTGATTGGATAATGTCGTTTCGAGTCAAGGCGGACATCGATGGGGGGACGAACCTTCCTCCCGGAAAGATGTGACTGGTGACTTCTAGAATATTCATTTTCACTTATGTCAATAGTTGTGTAAAACGGAAAATGGACATGAGACACAATCCCGTAAAACGACGTGTATTATGTATCCCAACTATTCCCAAGAACCGGTTTCGGTTCTTAATAATGTGCAAATCCATTTCCGGTGTCCCTCGCAGTGATAATACTGGAATATTGACAATCTCATTAAAATCATATCTTAGTTCACGCTAACGCTAAACAAAGATCTGAGAACATCCATGGTGCTGATAGACACATACACTGAATCAGACCGAATCGGGATTCGAACCCACTATAATAGGTTTCTGGTGCACGTAAGGGAGATAATTCTGCACAGCGAATTGCGGCGTGGGTCACGGAGAAATCACCGTGAATGCAATCACGTGACTGTATCTGATGAACGCTGCGAATTGAATCCATCCCTGTCACATATAACTGATGGCTGTAAACAATACATATTTATCAATTTATTAATACATGGTTTATTTTGTATATGCATACACCATCCACTGTAGGATTCCCAGTAAATAGATACTTTTGTTTCAGCCCCTTCAACTTGAAGACCTACTGTAGTCGGAGTGCGGGTGGCCCAGTCGTCTAGGGTGCCGCAATTCGCTGTGCAGAGTTGCGTCCCTTGGGCGCAGCAGAAACCTATGACGAGTTCGCCCGGATGTTCGCCCGGATGTTCAAAACGGCATTAAACCAAACCCATTCACTCTGCTGCGTTTGCCATCACTCGCTATATTCTGTATCCCTGATTTAAAAACAATAGGCCTATAATATATTTCACTTCATCTGGGAACAAAAATGAAATGGTCTGTGTTTTGCCTGAACCTACCTTTAGTATAGACAATTACATGAAACAACACATTTAGACATGCACACTGGATTTTATTCAAGTACTTTTACATCAATATTCATAAACAATAAAGTGTTGAATCAAGGACGCTATATTTCGTTGAAGAAAGATGATAAAACAGAGGTGACTAAACGGCGACAGCATGATTTAACTTTTCAGAATCAGGTACAACGTAAGATTATTTGATAGAAACTGTGGCAGGATCCAATGTCGCCGACCAAGGTTGATCTGAAATAGACAATAGAAGGTCAACAAAGTGCAATTCGAAGACCTCTGAAAACATATCGAGTAATCAGTAATTCGAGACAAATATAACACACCGATGTCGATATGCCACCAGTGTCGATGTAACATCACAGTGTCGATTGATGTAACATCACAGAGTCGATACAACACACCAGTGTCGATATAACACCAGTGTCGATATAACACCAGTGTCGATGTAACACCAGTGTCAATATAACACCACAGTGTAATCATAACATCACAGTGTCGATTGATGTAACATCACAGTGTCGATATAACACAACAGTGTTGATATAACACCAGTGTCGATATACCACCAGTGTCGATATAACACAACAGTGTTGATATACCACCAGTGTCGATATACCACCAGTGTCGATGTAACATCACAGTGTCGATTGATGTAACATCACAGTGTTGATATAACACAACAGTGTTGATATACCACCAGGGTCGATATACCACCAGTGTCGATGTAACATCACAGTGTCGATTGATGTAACATCACAGTGTCGATATAACACAACAGTGTTGATATACCACCAGTGTCGATATACCACCAGTGTCGATGTAACATCACAGTGTCGATTGATGTAACATCACAGTGTCGATATAACACAACAGTGTTGATATACCACCAGTGTCGATATACCACCAGTGTCGATATAACACAACAGTGTTGATATACCACCAGTGTCGATATACCACCAGTGTCGATGTAACATCACAGTGTCGATTGATGTAACATCACAGTGTCGATATAACACAACAGTGTTGATATACCACCAGTGTCGATATACCACCAGTGTCGATATAACACAACAGTGTTGATATACCACCAGTGTCGATATACCACCAGTGCCGATGTAACACCAGTGTCGAAGTCACATCACAGTGTCGATGTAACACCAGTGTCGATTGATGTAACATCACAGTGTTGATATAACACAACAGTGTTGATATACCACCAGTGTCGATATAACACCAGTGTCGATGTAACATCACAGTGTCGATTGATGTAACATCACAGAGTCGATATAACACAACAGTGTTGATATACCACCAGTGTCGATATACCACCAGTGTCGATGTAACATCACAGTGTCGATATACCACCAGTGTCGATATAACACCAGTGCCGATGTAACACCAGTGTCGAAGTCACATCACAGTGTCGATGTAACACCAGTGTCGATATAACACCACAGTGTCGATGTAACACCAGTGTCGATATAACACCACAGTGTTGATGTAACACCAGTGTCGATATAACACCACAGTGTCGATGTAACACCAGTGTCGATATAACACCACCGTGACGATGTAACACCAGTGTCGATATAACACCACAGTGTCGATGTAACACCAGTGTCGATATAACACCACCGTGCCGATGTAACACCAGTGTCGATATAAAACCACAGTGTCGATGTAACACCAGTGTCGATATAACACCACAGTGTCGATGTAACACCAGTGTCGATATAACACCACAGTGTCGATGTAACACCAGTGTCGATATAACACCACAGTGTCGATGTAACACCAGTGTCGATATAACACCACAGTGTCGATGTAACACCAGTGTCGATATAACACCACAGTGTCGATGTAACACCAGTGTCGATATAACACCACTGTGTCGATGTAACACCAGCGTCGATATAACACCACAGTGTAATTATAACATCACAGTGTTGGTGTAAAACCAGTGTCGATATAACACCACGGTGTCGACCGATCTCATTCCAATCAGTACTTCTCTCTCTGCGGGGGCATTGGACGACCCCAGGAGGCCGCACCAGGTCAACCCCGTGTGAACTTTGACCGCCCAGTAATAACGAAGGATGCATAAGTTCTTGAGCCAATCAGACGTCAGCTTTCTAAAACTATTCGGCTTAACTTCTGTTCCATCTGGATTCGGAAATTTTGATCTAACAAACGAAAACAACACAACACAGATATTCCTTTAGTGGTGCTTCATTTCGGGAGCAGGTGCCATGGCGCCCAGAGACGAGAAGCTGTGTAAACATCATAAACAACTATAATCGTTTAGCCTTTTGTATTTCTCATCGCGAACTGTCCAGTTATCTTCGTTTTCGAGATACAGCAATCAGCTATACTGCTCTGAATCAATGGGGGCAGGTCGGGTAGCCTAGTGGTTAAAGCGTTCGCTTTCCATAGCCCGGGATGAAAGTCGCCTGGGTTGAAACTAGTACCGTAAAGCTCAAGAAAGATGAAGAAGTTGCTGATTGGTTAATGTCAGCCTTTTGCTTTTGTCATTTGATCGGTCGGTCAAAGTTCGCGTAAGGTCGTTCTGACGTGACCTGTTATGGGATGTACACAGATTTTGTTTACCGGCAGCGAGAACTAAGATCTGATTTTAATGAGATTGGAATCAAACTTGGCGATTCAGTTGTAACAACTTAAACAATATAACGAGATGCCCCCCTGTATTTGTAACACAGCACAGAAATAAACGTTGATGGTAATGTTAACAGCAAACAGAGATGCCAACAGCCACACGAAACCATGACGCAGCAGAGAACACGAACTAAATGTTGACGTCACGTACAGAAGCGCCTCAACTGTTCCATCTACATAGTAAACTTTAAATTTGGGTGGCAATCATTTGTCCTTTGAGCCGTTACCTTATATAAAGTAACATACATGCTTTTTGTTACTAGAACGCGGACAGTATTTATATATTTATTGGTTTGGTAAAGTTAATTACTCTTGAATGGAATACTTGTGATGTAATGAGAAAAACACACTTTTTGTGGCAAGGAAATTTAATTTTTTCACGATTTTTTAGGGAGAATCATGTTTTTCGATAACATCCCAACCCCCCTGTTATCAAATCGCCGGTCCCTAAGAGGTCTGAGCAAATACGACGTGAGGCTTACCACCTTTTTATCTTCTCTTTTTAAGTCCACGGAAACCAATAGTGTGCGCTGGGGCTCGGGGGGTTTTGTGGCTGCCCACAATGCCGCGCCCAGGAATTCCAGATCCGATGCCAGTCTCCTCTGGTTCAGCAGCGAATCCCATGTGGTTCAGGGCTGCCGTGCCATGGTGTCTGTTGCCGATGGTCGGGAGGAAAGGCATAGAGGGGTTGATATTGGCCTCGTCACCAGTGTCTTCCACGGGGAATTCTGATGCAGCTCCGTTCCCGGCTTCATCCTCGCTGCCATCCACGTCCTCATCATTCTGTGGGTGCTGGTTGGCCACGTGGTGCTCCCGGTGACCTCTAGTCTCAAGTTCGAGAAGGTAGGCCACGATTCCTCTGAGAACAGTTGTGAGTTTGGCTTCATCGTTCTCTGCCACATACCTGTCAATGATTTCATCTGCAAGCCTCTTCACTGCATCGGGTTCTGCATTCGCATTATGCGGGGACCCCTTGAATTTGCCTTCGAAATGGACATTTGGTTCGGTGTCGCTCTCTCTTGACTCAAACAATACCAGCATGTTAGCAAGGTCAGCAAGAGCTGTGGTCTGTTTGTGTGACCCAAGAGTCTGAACCAGTTCCAGGGCAGGTTCTCTGACGGACTCCAGAGTGACATCGTCATCTTCATCTGCATCGTCAAGTTCAGGTACAGGGTGCTCTCTCTGGTGGCCATGGTGACCAGTAAATGATTCAAGGATCTTGGCAAGGATTTTCAACTCATGATCTGTTTCAGATTTGTCTTTGTGGTTTTCGAGTTCTCCAAATATTTTGTTTACAAGAGCTGTGACAGATTCAACGGTTGCCAATGTACCATCACCATGATGACGATGACGCTCGTGCTTGGTATGGAGAGGGTCTATTGAGAAATGGTGCTCAAACCTCTTCAGCAAATGGGCCATCTCCGCCAGTGCTGTCTGCATTCCCTCCTCGCCTTGCCGAGCAAGGAGTTTGTCGATCATGTCAAGAGCATATCCTCGGGCGAATTCAAGAGTAGCGTCTTCAGGAATACTGCTTTCGGAATTGCCTTGTATCTTGCCAAACTCTGTATATTCAAAGCCGTGAAGATAATGAAGTATGACATGCAATACCCTTTCAACGTGTGTTTCATTGGCCACTTCTAATTTGTCAAAGACCATATTGATATGGGCTTTGATCGCTTCAGAAGGAATGATGGCAATTCCGCCATTTTTGATAGCTACTTCCGCGTCGATGTTGTCCAAGAAAACAATAAACGCTTCGATCTGCTGAGGATCCATCTTATGAAGAAGGGTGTCGACGTGAGACTTAACAGATTCTGGAGTCCATTCAAAACCATCGTCATTGATAAACGATTCGCTGCTCTCTTGCTGGGCCGTGCCCTCGGTGAGGAGATGCTGCTTCTGGTTGCCATGGTGGCGATGTGCAGGTGCTGGAGTAGATACGATGTGTCCGGGTTGCTGCACTTGCTGGGGATGTGGAGGAGCAGGAGTAGATGTGATGTGTTCGAAGTCCTTAGTGTGTTCGGGACGGTGCCCTAGATGGTGTTCCTGTGTTTGGCGGATGGCTTGATGTTCGTGGTGACGGTGGCTACGTTGAGGTTGATGCACCTCAGCTTCACCGTCCATGTGGTGCCTTAGTCCACCATGTGTAGTTGTCCAACTATGTCCCACTGTCTGTGCATGATGGCTTCCTCCGTGGTGCGCGACAGTGTCGTGTTGACGGTGATGCTTATTCTGAGCTTCGAGGTGATGCTGATGAGACATGACTTCGCATTTTCCCATCTGCTCAGCAATCTTTTTAAGATGTGATTCCATGTCGTCTCCTCCAAACCGATTTTTAAGATCCCTCCTTATGTCATCCTCGGCAATCCCTTCCAGGCTCCCAGATTCATGAAGTTTCTTCAACAGGAATTCTAGAACGGCTTCAGTCCAACTTTTAGCGTCGTCATTGGCTGCGTCGGCATGTTTGATGGCGTCTACCAAGAATTCTCGCACGACCCGTTGAAGATCCCAGGCTACCCCAGAACTGTCTGGGGCTCCTGTGGTAGTCGGGAAAGATGACGTTTCACGCTTAGCTCGGCCATCAGGAATTATCGACGGCCCGTCTCGCCTGGCTCGGTGGTGAGGCGCTTCCTGTGTCGCGTCTAGCTTGGCTCGGTCAGCATGGCGCAGTTGTTTAACGGCTCGGAGTGACTGGGTTCCGTCTGGCATAGACAATAGACACGCCAACGTCAGTGTTAACGTCAGTGACACGAGACCTCTCATTGTCTGAAACAAACAGGGGGTGATTATCTAAAAAAAATAATCCTATTCTGGCTTTGAGGTGTGTGTGTGTGTGTGTGTGTGTGTGTGTGCGTGCGTGCGTGCGTGCGTGCGTGCGTGCGTGCGTGCGTGTGTGTGTGTGTGTGCGTGTGTTTCACAGTTACATGTGCACAGACAAATATAGAAAAAATATCAAATTTTGGTTTGGTTTGTTGTTTAACGCCGCACTCAGCAATATTCCAGCTATATGACGGCGGTCTGTAAATAATCGAGTCTGGACCAGACAATCCAGTGACTTATATCATGAGCATCGATCCGCGTAATTGGGATCGATGACATGCATCAACCAAGTCAGCAAGCCTGACCACCCGATCCCGTTAGTCGCCTTTTACGACAAGCATAGTCACCTTTAACGGCAAGCATGGGTTGCTGAAGACTTTTCTACCCCGGAATCTTCACGGTCAAAAAATATCAAAACTTCATATTTCATATTTTTTAAAAGAAATTTCGGGGACAATATATTTTTTGACTATTGAATCTCAGGCAGCCCCAGAATATCAAATGGTAGGTATATTTCTATGTCTATATGATTGGTTAATCTGGAAAAGATCCGGTAGCATAAGGTCCTTTTGTGGAAATTTTTAATTATTAGTATGCGAAGAATAACAACAGTCACTGGCTAACAACAAACCTTTTTTTCTTTCTTACAGTTTTTACCTCTGACAAAATCAAATACACAAATGGGACTAAACATAGTGAAATGGGCAGATTTACAGAACTTGTCGTGTCTTATTCACATCTTTGTGAAAGATCGGTTTGAGTCGAAGATTTGCCCTCTTAACGCAGCTTTTTGGACACATGTTGTCCTACCTTCTATTGTCATTTAGTCCCAGAAATAAAGTTTTCTTGTTGTAAAATATATATCTAAAAATGGAGTCCAGAACAATTATTAATTTCAGGAATTGTATCGAGATATTTTTTCAGCTAGAGATCAGATTTTTTTTATTTATGATCCCGAATTTTGTCTTTAGAGAAGCACCTTGCAACAATGAAAATTTTGTGGCAGGCAATTTCATTTTTCTCAACAGTCTGAAGTATAATTATTTTTATCAAGAATTTTCGGGGACAACTTCATTTTGTTCGATAAAATCCCAGGTTAGAAATCACGGGTTAGAATACCCGATTCACTCCGACTATGACCCTTGGCTTGCCAGCACGGCACCCATGCTCCATGGCTTCACACAGTTGCACATATCCAGCTCTCCTCTCACACTGAGCTCACACGGCGGGGTATACGTGAAGCACTATTTAAAGTTGCGTTTTACTAAATTCACTTACAAATACCAAACACATTGTCATGGCAATTGTGTGGAAACAAATTATAAAAATAGATTCGCTGTCGAAAATCTGTATTCTACCACAACCCTCCCAGCTCCAGCCGCACCAACCCTAACCCCACCCCCAACCCCACCATCCTGAAACTTAATACCCCGAGACTTTTGTTTGTCATTTTCTAATCAAACATTCAAATGAAGTGTGCTTTCAGTATTGAATAAAGACTTACCACAGGATTTCGATTCAATCCAAAAATACAGAACTGTTACTTGCGCCTGTCCTCGAGGTTATGTGTGCTGGAATGGCTGTTTACTGGATCTTGAAGCTGATTTTGAAGTCGGTGCCACATGTAACTATCAAAACGAGGCTCGTACCCACGATTTCAGGCTTAAATTACCATTGGCGTCATGCTACAAGTATATCGATTTGGTACATCTAGAAATCGATCTGATCTATGACAGTCATTCCGATGAGCCTATGATAATATCGCTATGGACACCGGGAGTAAACACGAAAAGTGGGATTCGGGTTTCCTTTACTCATTTCATTTCTTTTTCTTGTGTGCGTGCGGTTGAATGTGTTTGTGCACGTGTGCGTGCGTCTGTGCGTGCGTGCGTGCGTGTGCGTGCGAGGTGATGATTGAGCTGATTACGCGAGGATCAGGCTGGAACAACGTGTGACCTGGCTGATGGTTTCTCATCGGATCCTGGCGGTGTGGGTCTTTGCTCATGATTTCAACCACCAGTCTGCCTGGTCCTGACTTAATGTACAAGCTGTCATGACACACCTGAAGAGTTGCTGAATGGGCGTAAAACAACATTCGTCTATTCACCTAGTCCTGCACCATGACCGTGGAATATATTTATTTTATGAAAAAATAATAATCTAGAAACGCATACAAAAGCAAGTCTAGCCAACTCAAGCTAGCTCTATTCTGAAATCAGCATGGGGATATTTTTATATTTTTAGAGTCAAGAAGGATATTGTGTAATATAAGATTTCAGAGACTAAATGTTAGTCTACTATTCACCGTTTAACCTAAGCAGGGCCATCTATTCGATTGAGACACTGGCGCTAGTCCTCTTTTAGAATTCGATGCCCTCTCTGTCTCAACGACTACCGCAACAACTTACGGAAAAGCCGATAGTCTATCTCACCATGTAATCGGATGTAATCGGATGTCGATGTCGTCTTTGGGAACGTCACCTGGAGCTACTTGCCTTACATATCTTGGCTCGGGTCAAGAGATAATGTAGCACATGGCGTGTCGATATTTCATGAAGCCATCTTGGCAGGAAGATCGTTTTCTGTAAATCCAAGCATTCTTGTCACGCACTGCACCAGTTATCTGTTTCTATCTTGACCATGTTCAATGTGGGCTACAGAAACGTGAAACTGGTATGTTTAAATGTTGTTAAGAAAGTAACACCTTTTCTGTTTACCTCTAAAATTATTGGAATTATTTATCATTGACGTCTTCATTTTTAAAATAACAACAAAACCGATGGTCGAATAGTTTGGAAGATCACCAGGTGATATTGATTAAGCGAACAGTCCTTGTTGCGCCAGGCCAACTCAGTGACCTGTCGTAATTGGCCGACTCAGTTGACTGTCCTAGTTGCGCCAGGCCGAATCATTGACTTGTCGTAGTTGCGCCAGGCCGACTCAGTTGACTGTCCTAGTTGCGCCAGGCCGAATCATTGACTTGTCGTAGTTGCGCCAGGCCGACTCAGTTGACTGTCCTAGTTGCGCCAGGCCGACTCGGTGAACTGTCCTAGTTGCGCCATGCCGAATCATTGACTTGTCGTAGTTGCGCCAGGCCGACTCGGTGAACTGTCCTAGTTGCGCCAGGCCGAATCATTGACTTGTCGTAGTTGCGCCAGGCCGACTCGGTGAACTGTCCTAGTTGCGCCAGGCCGAATCATTGACTTGTCGTAGTTGCGCCAGGCCGAATCAGTTGACTTGTCGTAGTTGCGCCAGGCCGACTCAGTTGACAGTCCTAGTTGCGCCAGGTCGAATCATTGACTTGTCGTAGTTGCGCCAGGTGAACTGTCCTAGTTGCACAAAGGCGACTTAGTTAACTGTCCAACATGCGCCAGACCACAGTGTTGTGTCAGTAATGTGTGTGGACCAAGCAAATTACTGACAGCACGAGCACCGATCCACCTGAAGCACAACCACCTGCAATAGGTCACCGAGGCTGACCGGCCGACTTCCACACAATCACAGACAACAGGGAGGAGCAGCTGTTTGCGTGCGAGTGTTGTGTGCGCATGTGCGTGCGTGTGCTTCTAAGCCACAATTTCCACCTATTTGTCTGCTATGTGTACTAGGGACCTCTTCCAACTCAGTATCAACACCTATGTATACTGTGGACCTTTTCTAACCCAGAAACACCTACTGTTTTTAATGCGTTGTGTACTGGGACCTATTCTAACCCAGAATCCTCACCTATGTGTCTGCTACGTGTACTAGGGACCTATTCTTACCCAGAATCCCCACCTGTGTGTCTGCTGTGCGTAGTAGGGACCTCTTCTAACCCAGAATCCCAACCTATGTGTCTGCTGTGTGTAGTGGGGACGTATTCTAACCCAGAATCCCCACCTATGTGTCGGCTATGTGTACTAGGGACATATTCTAGCCCAAAATCCCCACCTATGTGTCTGCTATGTGTACTGGGGACGTATTCTAACCCAGAATCCCCACCTATTCTAACCCAGAATCCCCACCTCTGTGTCTGCTGTGTGTACAGGGACATATTCTAACCAAGAATCCCCACCTATTTGTCTGCTATGTGTACAGGGACGTATTCTAACCCAGAATCCCCACCTATGTGTCTGCTGTGTGTAGTGGGGACCTATTCTAACCCAGAATCCCAACCTATGTGTCTGCTGTGTGTAGTGGGGACCTATTCTAACCCAGAATCCCCACCCATGTGTCTGCTATGTGTACAGGGACGTATTCTAACCCAGAATCCCCACCTATGTGTCGGCTATGTGTACTAGGGACATATTCTAGCCCAGATTCCCCACTTATTCTAACCCAGAATCCCCACCTATGTGTCGGCTATGTGTACTAGGGACATATTCTAGCCCAGAATTCCCACCTGTGTGTCTGCTATGTGTAGTGCAGATCTATTCTAACCCAGAATCCCCACCTCTGTGACAGCTATATGTACTGGGGACCTATTCTTACCCAGAGTCCCCACCTATGTGTCTGCTATGTGTACAGGGACATATTTTAACCCAGAATCCCCACCTCTGTGTCTGCTATATGTACTGGGGACGTATTCTAACCCAGAATCCCCACCTATTCTAACCCAGAATCCCCACCTATGTGTCGGCTATATGTACTTGGGACCTATTCTAACCTATAGTCCCCACCTATGTGTACAGGGACGTATTCTAACCAAGAATCACCACCTCTGTGTCTGCTGTGTGTACTGGGGACGTATTCTAAACCCAGAATCCCCATCTATGTGTCTGCTGTATGTACTGGGGACATATTCGAACCCAGAATCCCCACCTATTTGTCTGCCATGTGTACTGGGGACCTATTCTAACCCAGAATCCCCACCTATTTGTCTGCTATGTGTAGTGGGGACCTATTCTAACCGAGAATCCCACCATATTGTCTGCAATGTGTACTGGGGATCTATTCTAACCCAGAATCCCACCATATTGTCTGCAATGTGTACTGGGGATCTATTCTAACCCAGAATCCCCACCTATTTGTCTGCTATGTGTAGTGGGGACCTATTCTAACCCAGAATCCCACCATATTGTCTGCAATGTGTACTGGGGATCTATTCTAACCCAGAACCCCCACCTATTTGTCTGCTATGTGTACTGGGGACCTATTCTAACCCAGAATCCCCACCTATGCGTCTGCTATGTGTACTAGGGACCTATTCTAACCCAGAACCCCCACATATTTGTCTGCTATGTGTAGTGGGGACATATTCTAACCCAGAATCCCCACCTATTTGTCTGCTATGTGTAGTGTGGATCTATTCTAACCCGGAATCCCCACCTATGTGTCTCCTATGTGTACTGGGGATCTATTCTAACCAAGAATCCCCACCTATTTGTCTGCTATGTGTACTGGGGACCTATTCTAACCCAGAATCCCCACCTATGTGTCGGCTATATGTACTGGGGACATATTCGAACCCAGAATCCCCACTTTTGTCTGCTATATGTACTGGGGACGTTTTCTCACCCAGAATCCCCACCTATTCTTACCCAGAATCCCCACCTCTGTGTCTGCTGTGTGTACATGGGACGTATTCTAACCCAGAATCCCCACCTCTTTGTCTGCTATGTGTAATGGGGACATATTCTAACCCAGAATCCCCACCTATGTGTCTGCTATGTGTACTAGGGACATATTCGAACCCAGAATCCCCACTTGTGTCTGCTATGTATACTGGGGATGTATTCTAACCCAGAATCCCCACCTATGTGTCTGCTATGTGTACAGGGACGTATTCTAACCCAGAATCCCCACCTATTTGTCTGCTATGTGTAGTTGGGATCTATTCTAACCCGGAATCCCCACCTATGTGTCTCCTATGTGGAGTGCAGATCTATTCTAACCAAGAATCCCCACCTATTTGTCTGCTATGTGTACTGGGGACCTATTCTAACCCAGAATCCCCACCTATGTGTCGGCTATATGTACTGGGGACATATTCGAACCCAGAATCCCCACTTTTGTCTGCTATATGTACTGGGGACGTATTCTCACCCAGAATCCCCACCTATTCTTACCCAGAATCCCCACCTCTGTGTCTGCTGTGTGTACTGGGGACGTATTCTAACCCAGAATCCCCACCTCTTTGTCTGCTATGTGTAATGGGGACATATTCTAACCCAGAATCCCCACCTATGTGTCTGCTATGTGTACTAGGGACATATTCGAACCCAGAATCCCCACTTGTGTCTGCTATGTATACTGGGGATGTATTCTAACCCAGAATCCCCACCTATGTGTCTGCTATGTGTACAGGGACGTATTCTAACCCAGAATCCCCACCCATGTGTCTGCTATGTGTACAGGGATGTATTCTAACCCAGAATCCCCACCTATGTGTCGGCCATGTGTACTAGGGACATATTCTAGCCCAGATTCCCCACTTATTCTAACCCAGAATCCCCACCTATGTGTCGGCTATGTGTACTAGGGACATATTCTAGCCCAGAATTCCCACCTGTGTGTCGGCTATGTGTAGTGCAGATCTATTCTAACCCAGAATCCCCACCTCTGTGTCAGCTATATGTACTGACGGACCTATTCTTACCCAGAGTCCCCACCTATGTGTCGGCTATGTGTACAGGGACATATTTTAACCCAGAATCCCCACCTCTGTGTCTGCTATATGTACTGGGTACGTATTCTAACCCAGAATCCCCACCTATTCTAACCCAGAATCCCCACCTATGTGTCGGCTATATGTACTTGGGACCTATTCTAACCTATAGTCCCCACCTATGTGTACAGGGACGTATTCTAACCAAGAATCACCACCTCTGTGTCTGCTGTGTGTACTGGGGACGTATTCTAACCCAGAATCCCCACCTATGTGTCTGCTATGTGTACTAGGGACACATTCGAACCCAGAATCCTCACCTATGTGTCTGCTATGTATACTGGGGATGTATTCTAACCCGGAATCCCCACCTATGTGTCTGCTATGTGTACTGGGGATGTATTCTAACCCGGAATCCCCACCTATGTGTCTGCTATGTGTACTGGGGATCTATTCTAACCCAGAATCCCCACCTATGTGTCTGCTATGTGTAGTGGTGATCTATTCTAAGCCAGAATACCCACCATATTGTCTGCAATGTGTACTGGGGATCTATTCTAACCAAGAATCCCCACCTATTTGTCTGCTATGTGTACTAGGGACCTATTCTAACCCAGAATCCCCACCTATGTGTCTGCTATGTGTAGTGGTGATCTATTCTAAGCCAGAATACCCACCATATTGTCTGCAATGTGTACTGGGGATCTATTCTAACCCAGAACCCCCACCTATTTGTCTGCTATGTGTACTGGGGACCTATTCTAACCCAGAATCCCCACCTATGTGTCTGCTATGTGTAGTGGTGATCTATTCTAAGCCAGAATCTCACCATATTGTCTGCAATGTGTACTGGGGATCTATTCTAACCCAGAACCCCCACCTATTTGTCTGCTATGTGTAGTGGTGATCTATTCTAAGCCAGAATACCCACCATATTGTCTGCTATGTGTATTCGGGATCTATTCTAACCCAGAATCCCAACCTATGTGTCTGCTATGTGTACAGGGACGTATTCTAAACAAGAATCCCCACCTATGTGTCTGCTATGTGTACAGGGATGTATTCTAACCCAGAATCCCCACCTATGTGTCTGCTATGTGTACTAGGGACATATTCTAACCCAGAATCCCCACCTATGTGTCTGCTATGTGTACTAGGGACACATTCGAGCCCAGAATCCTCACCTATGTGTCTGCTATGTATACTGGGGATGTATTCTAACCTAGAATCCCCACCTATGTGTCTGCTATGTGTACTGGGGACATATTCTAACCCAGAATCCCCACCTATGTGTCTGCTATGTGTACTAGGGACATATTCGAACCCAGAATCCTCACCTATGTGTCTGCTATGTATACTGGGGATGTATTCTAACCCAGAATCCCCACTTATGTCTGCTATATGTACTGGGGACGTATTCTCACCCAGAATCCCCATCTATTCTAACCCAGAATCCCCACCTATGTGTCTGCTGTATGTACTGGGGACATATTCTAGCCCAGAATCCCCACCTATGTGTCTGCTATGTGTACTGGGGACCTATTCTAACCCAGAATCCCCACCTATTTGTCTATGTGTAGTGGGGACCTATTCTAACCGAGAATCTCACCATATTGTCTGCAATGTGTACTGGGGATCTATTCTAACCCAGAATCCCCACCTATGTGTCTGCTATGTGTAGTGGTGATCTATTCTAAGCCAGAATACCCACCATATTGTCTGCTATGTGTACTGGGGACCTATTCTAACCCAGAATCCCCACCTATGTGTCTGCTATGTGTAGTGGTGATCTATTCTAAGCCAGAATACCCACCATATTGTCTGCAATGTGTACTGGGGATCTATTCTAACCAAGAATCCCCACCTATTTGTCTGCTATGTGTACTAGGGACCTATTCTAACCCAGAATCCCCACCTATGTGTCTGCTATGTGTAGTGGTGATCTATTCTAAGCCAGAATACCCACCATATTGTCTGCAATGTGTACTGGGGATCTATTCTAACCCAGAACCCCCACCTATTTGTCTGCTATGTGTACTGGGGACCTATTCTAACCCAGAATCCCCACCTATGTGTCTGCTATGTGTAGTGGTGATCTATTCTAAGCCAGAATACCCACCATATTGTCTGCAATGTGTACTGGGGATCTATTCTAACCAAGAATCCCCACCTATTTGTCTGCTATGTGTACTAGGGACCTATTCTAACCCAGAACCCCCACTTATTTGTCTGCTATGTGTAATGGGGACATATTCTAACCCAGAATCCCCACCTATTTGTCTGCTATGTGTAGTGGGGATCTATTCTAACCCGGAATCCCCACCTATGTGTCTGCTATGTGTAGTGCAGATCTATTCTAACCCAGAATCCCCACCTATTTGTCTGCTATGTGTACTGGGGACCTATTCTAACCCAGAATCCCCACCTATGTGTCTGCTATGTGTAGTGGTGATCTATTCTAAGCCAGAATACCCACCATATTGTCTGCTATGTGTAGTGGGGATCTATTCTAACCCAGAATCCCCACCTATGTGTCTGCTGTGTGTACTAGGGACCTATTCTAACCCAGAATCCCCACCTATGTGTCTGCTATGTGTAGTGGGGACATATTCTAACCCAGAATCCCCACCTATGAGGGGTGTTCATTAAAGATATCCCCTAAACCACTTAGTGTTATCATATTTGGTTGAACTTTCACATGTGTAATGATACATGTATCTATGGGTTATGTCTGAATTTGCAGCACCAAACTATTAATCTTACCACTTTTACAGGTGTTATGATTGAGTAGGGTGTGACAATGGAGCCAGTAGAATACCGAGCAGTGATATGGTTTTTATATTTGAAGGTCGGCCACCAAAAGAAATTTTCGATGAAATGAAAGCAACTTATGTGGTCGGAGATCTGTGGAAACAGCTGCCATTCCTGGTCGCCCCCATTCAGCCATTGTTGAGGACACTATCCATCAAGTGGAGACCGCCATTTTGGCAGACCGACGTATAACTGTTCGCCAGTTAGCACAAGATGTCAAGATCAGTGTAGGGTCTGTGGACAAAAATCATCCATGACAATTTGAACATGCATAAGGTGTCTGCACAATGGATTCCCAGGTTGCTCACACCTTTCCAAAAGCAGGAACGAGTCAATTGCTCAAAGGATCTTTTGGACATGTGCCCAAAAAAACAGGCAAACTTTTTTGACAGACTTATCACACAGGATGAAACATGGGTCCATCACTGAGACCAAAGTTCAGTCGATGCAATGGAAGCATGTGGAGTCACCACCCCCAAAGAACCCTGTCCAACCCTCTGCAGGCAAGGTCATGCTCACGGTGTTTTGGGACCAGCACGGAGTAGTGATGATGGATTTCTTGGCAAAGGGTACCACAATTACAGGAGCTTATTATGCTTCACTGCTGCGGAAATTGCGGGATGCTATCAAGCTTAAGAGGCGTGGCATGCTGACCAAGGGTGTCCGTCTCCTGCAAGACAATGCTCCAGTACACAACTCTCATGTTGCCCAGACAGAAGCGCGGTCCTGTGGCTATGAAATCCTTCCACATACTCCTTACTCTCCTGACCTTGCACCATCTGACTTCCACCTCTTTCCAACCATGAAGTCATTTTTTAAGGGAAAACGTTTCACAGATGATGAAACACTGATTTCCGAAGTCAAGTCCTGGTTTGAGACGCAAAATGAGGGCTTTTACAAGCGAGGTCTCCATAGTTGCATAAAACGATTGGAGAAGTGTGTAACTCTTGGTGGTTCCTATGTGGAGAAAGACTAATACCTATGCCAAGTTTCATTCCACTAGGTCCATCGGAAGTGGGTCAGGGGAAATCTTTAACAAGCGTTTGCCACTAACGTGGCTATATCCCCCGCCCCTGTTGCAGAATTTATGACATAATTAAATCTAAACAAACCCTAACCTTTTTTAACCGAGGTGGAACTTGTCATGGAAATTGTAAAAAAAAGATGAGTTTGGAACCTAAGTCCATCTTGTTGCCATGGAAACGTAAGAAATAAATATTTCTAAAATTTCTAAATAGCAAAAGGCACCAGTTCAGCATGTACCTGACAGACCCCTGCAAAGTTTGATGAAAAAATATTGAACGGTTTATGAGTTATGCTCCGGAAACGAACCCTACCCTCTAAGAACCTAAGTCCATCTTGTTGCCATGGAAAAGTAAGAAATAAATATTTCTAAAATTTCTAAATAGCAAAAGGCACCAGTTCAGCATGTACCTGACAGACCTGCAAAGTTTGATGAAAAAATATTGAACGGTTTATGAGTTATGCTCCGGAAACGAAACATGACGGACGGATGGACGGAGCCCGTTTCTATATCCCCCGCCAACTTGGTTGGGCGGGGGATAATGAACACCCCTCGTATGTGTCTACTATGTGTAGTGGGGATGTATTCTAACCGAGAGTCCCCACCTATTTTGTGGCACGTGTACCCTCATTGTTTTCCATCTGTATACCATACTTCGTAAACAAAACACAACACACATCACTAACATAATGATTTTGTTATTTATTTGCAAAGATGGTCCATTACAGAGATGCTGGCACAAAGCCCTGGCACCTCGCCTGGGGCGCCGCATATAAAAGTCACAATTTCAGCACTATGTGCCCTCATGATTTGGTCAGAGATTTTGCTAATATCATTAACTTCCAGTCGGGTATGCCTAGGGCACCTGTTTTCCTGACCTAATCGCAACACAGAACATTGCTGTGTGAAATATTACATGAAGAGTAAAACTGTTATTTGGGTTTAAAAAAACATGGACAAACAGCCTGCAGTATAAGTACGCTGGAATCATGTTTGATTGGTGTGGACCATGACAATCAGAGTACAGGTCATGCAGACATGGAGACATGTCACATGACATCATCTAGCCATTGAAAGTTCTCTCAAGTAATCTTGCAGCCTAGTTCAGGGTTCCCACTTTTGTTAGAGAAGCCCTGACTATGGATGTGAAAGATATTCATAAGGAAATATCCACGTTGTGAGAGCACTACACATACTTAAAGGGGCTCTCTGAGGTCACTGACACTGCACCCAAGTTCTACTCTGTTCAAGAAAAATCTCAAGGCATTACTGAAACAGTACTTACTGGCTTGAAGGTCATTCCCATTTGTACCTGTTCAAGGCGCATAGATACCAAATCCCCTTAAATCATTTCTTGAGCCCTTTTAAATAACCTGCTGGGTCCCTTTAAATAACCTGCAGAGCCCCTTTAAATAACCTTCAGAGCCCCTTTAAATAACCTTCAGAACTCCCTTACATAAACATCTTTACTTCAGTGGGTTATGATTTTGTTTCTTCGACTTGACCAAAATGCAAGAATCTTATCATTTTCTGACTGATCTCTGTCCCTCGTCCTCAACCAAGTTTCTCGTCCCCAACAAAGTCCTTCATCCCCAACCAAGACCTTCGTGTGCACCATGAATGTTTCAAGCCATTTGCTTCAGGTACATTTCCTGGAGATATGACCATTAGCCTGAAACATTCTGACTCATGTGCAAGATCCAAAAAAGAAGTGACCTTAATATTTCTGGTATTTACAAGATCTTTAAACGTAGTCTTGATAAGATTCCTGCATTTCCAGTAACAAGTTCGATGACCACAGCAAGGAGGAACATGTACAATACTTCAGCATGCTGTATATCACTGGCAGTGGCTTCAGTCATTTATGAACATCTTTTACAAGAAACAGAACCTGGTATATCTCCATGTAGCATTCCATTCTACAGAAATAGAGGCAGAAGCCTTCACTAACAGTCAACACTTCCTGCTCTAGAAACCACCAGTTTCAGCTCCACGATCAACAGTTCCACCTCCTATGGCACCAGGATTCCATTCCTTAATACAGGCTGTAACCTTTCACATGAATATTCTATTCATATAAACAGAACTTATGAACATTCTCATTCTCGAAGTCTGGAGTTCCATGAATTTGTTCCAGAAATTACAGAACATGTTGAAAAGTAAACATTTCCCAGGGGCCCCAAAACAAATGGACTTATCAAGTAAAGACGGTCGACCAGTCAGCGACAAAAAATCTGCCTGGACTATCATTTTACATGGTATTATCAAGTTAACAAGGCTTCTCCGCAATTATAAACTCTGTGACAAATTCATTGGAAACTGATACAGAATAAAACCTAGCTTATGTCTGTCACACATTTCAAGTTTCAAGTGAAACAGGCTTACTGAAAAATATGTCTTTATTTTGATTCGCTTTTGAAACAACGGGGTCTTCTGTATCATCCAAACTCGGTACAGATGATAATTTCTGTTCATATCGTTAGAATATTTATGTGGGATCCAGCACAGGTACATCTGTTGGTCCTGCCACACAAGCTGAGTGAACACATCAGGAACCTGTCACCATGGAAACGGCTTCCATGGTAACATCTTCTGCTCCTGCCACACAAGCTAAGTGAACACACCAGGAACCTGTCACCATGGAAACGGCTTCCATGGTAACACCTTCCTTCACAGGACGATCATTTAAAAAGAAAAGTTGAAACTCTGCAATCCACTGATGAAGCAGCTGACAATAGCTGAATTCTAGATGTAAATCTTAGATCATACAACTGTGCCCAGGTACACAAAGCAATCTTAGCGTTAAGTCCTGATGGTCTAGTCAGTTATGGGAGTCATAGTTCTAAGCTATCTTTGGGAACATGTCCCTGTGCTCAGGTACACGAAGCAATCTTAGCACTAGGTCCTGTTGGTCTAGTCAATTATGGGAGTCATAGTGCTAAGATGTCTTTGGGAACATGTCCCCTCAAAGCTATCTTCACCTAAGTTTACTCTAATATCGACATTAGATGAAGCACTAAGGCTGCTTTGTGCATACGGGCTTGCACTGACTGACACATCACCAACCCATTAACTCAAATATCAAAGGCATTTAACAGCATAAAGTACAAACATGTGACTTGGTCAAACGACTTGCACAGCAACAAAACATAGATAAAATAAGAAAACACTGAGACATCCCCCTTCTCAGAATCAGCCTGTCTTCGTCCCCCTATCTACAAAGAAATGACAGTTTAGACTTTAATGTTGAATGATGAAGAGTACCAGGGAGGATTCATGTACAAGTAAAATTGTTAAAACTTTAAATTCATCGCAGTCGGAGAACGAACAATAAACAACCAACACGTCACCAAGCCAACTACAGCTCTGTCAGCCATCATGATTAACAAAAACTATCACTGACTGACCGTTCCCCGGCGAGTCAAAGTGACAAAACTATCCTGACAACTCCAAGGATCAGCCATGTTTCTTCTGTACAACATCAAGGATTATTAAAATGACACTGAACAGAATATTGCCCTAACAATGTACATGTTTTACCATGAATCATACTCCCTTGGGTGTTGCAAAATGTATTGACACAAACTTTGTTGTTAGGCAAACAGTATATCTGACTGAGATTAGTATGTACTATTAAAGCAAAACTAGTGTTAACTAAATACTAAAAAAGAAGGGTAAAACAGTGGAAGAGACATGGGTCCTAAAATGGCAAGGTTTGCTTGACAACAGTTGACACAAAGAACAGTGGTACTCTTAAAAAAAGTGGTTTCACTGCAGTCTAAAAGCAACTTTATACCTCTCAATTATCAAGAACAAATATTCTTCCACATTCAAACTTGAACTCAAATATTTCCCACCTCCACCATCTATTTGATGAAAGTTGAAAATGAACTTTGATCAAATATTATTCCTGGAAAAGGTAGTTGACTGGTAGTACTTATTGCCAATACATCTACATCGCGGTGACAACTAGTATTCTGATTACTTGCCTCACAGCTTCATCAACACCCACACAATTTTATCCTCAGACCAAGAATATGATAAATCAAAGAAAGCTTGGAAATATAACATTACCTCTTTCATCACAACGCTGATAAAATAGTTATGGATGAAACACTGAAAGCTGTTGAAAAGGTTTGTTTTGACAGAACTTCCCAATCATCAAATGTCCACCCACGTGAGAATCGACCATGAAGGTTGTCACCTGACTTGAACGACATCTATTAAATATGTCCAAAGCTTTTCAAAACAATAGTTAACTAGTCCTGCTTGCATTGACTGGACGAAAGAGACGAAATCTAAAATCAATATTATCTTGCTTCGATCGGAAAAATAGTCTCTTGTTTCTCAATTCCCATGCAGCATATTCCTTGCTGTGTGACCTCTTTACCCGAAATTTAGTACACAGCAAGGGCAGATAACTCTAAAACATTTTGGAAAATTTGCAATCAAACAAAAGAAAGCCAACATCACCTCGATTTGTTCAAACCAAAAATATGGAAAACAAGAAACAAAAGACTTTTTCTCGGTCAACATTATGCTAAGAATGCTTACTAATCATGTTTTTTCAACAAATCTAAATATAATATTTTTTAACATTTATGTTATTATGGCAACAACAAAAAGTGCAGATTTCAGTTATCTCCCTTTGAATGTCTTCACAAACAGCTTCACTGCATGGCTAGTTTGCCTGTGTTATGCAGGAGGTACGTACCAAACCGGAGGTGAGTATTATGCAAAGTTTATTTTTTTTACATCCAATTATGTTTATGAAATTATTATCTGAACAGTTTTTGCCGAATCCACTGAGTATGATGTCACAGAATAAATCAAACATTTTCCTTGTTGAAAGAGGTAGATACTGCAGAAATATTGTCACCAAAACAGTAAACAAAGCAAACAAATAAGAAAGAAGTATGTACAAAAAACATAAATTTCATGAACACTGCCTCCAGTTTCCATTGTCTACAGTTACTTACATATTACAGAGACACACAGGGATGACAGCAGGGGAGTCGGGGGAGATGCTAACGATCTCGGTTATCTGGTTTCCAAATCGTCAGATTAACTGTCATCCCTGTTATGTCGCCATTCCTCAAAGACAAGATGGTATCTGGAATGTTTACCTCTCATTCTGTACACAAGTTTAAGTTTGTAAAATAGCACTTTATAGCACATTTCGATAAAAGCATCTGAAATGCACAAAATCCCCATTTGGTTTAGAGTCGATGAATCTCAGCTTCTCCATGCCCCCAACACTGACAAGTCACTATCTACAAAGTATCAGCTGAAAGGTTTTAAAGAGAGCCGGCTGCAGCTCAGCATTGCCAAGACTAATATACTGATGGCCATAATTAAGGGAACACATCGCAATATTGTGGAATATTGATGTTTTCAAGGAAAAATACTCCAAAATAAGAAATACAAATAAAAACAAACAGTGTATGTTAGGATACACTGTTGTAACGGAAAGAATTGTTAAGTTTTCCAACAAACCCCTTCAGCTAAAGTTTAATTGTGAAAATACAACTTCCCTAAAAGCATGTTTTAAGAAAGATCACACAAATCATATTACCATATTAAATTGTGTCAACACAGCACAACAGGTTTGTGGAGCAGCACAACACAAAACATCAAGGAAGGCATAATTATGAACTGTCGTGATCTTTCTTCACACCCTTAAGGATCCATCCAACATCAAACTGCTGCCTTAGTATTGGGTGTCCTCTCCATTGACCACCCCTGGTAACGCGGCCCGGGGTGCATCTGTCGCTTCATGCCAGACTCCAGCCTCCCATTGGTCCATCCCCCAGTAGTCTCCATCAGTACCTTAGCACAACGTTGGAACTATGACCAAAACAAATGCGATGCTTCCAATGTCTGTTAACATATTTCAGACGATCTATTTCCATTTTGTCCTCTTGTCTCTACTCATTAGCATCAGTGATCAACCAACCCAAGATAATCTCGCAAAGCAACCAACGAAACCAAACAAAAGGTTTGTTTTATATATATATATATACAGACATCCACGGAATGTAGAGATTTGGCTTAAAATTCCCCAATCTGAAACTGGATGTACATATTTTTGTTTACTGATGAAACAATATATATGAAATAAATTCTTGTATGATCTTTTTTTCCTCTATAAAATATTTTATTTCCAAACCTTTTGTTTCGTAGGTGGTTGCCGAAACCGAAACTGCTCCGAGATGTCACCAAATGAGGACGATTATGGGCCGGTCAAGCACTGAATACTAAGCTTATTATACTAATATTGCTACCCTACAATTATTGAAAGAGAGGCTCCTCTCTGGGAGCCACGTCCTGTCAAGGCTGACCACTGTAAGCTGTGTGAGAGGTTACTGTCATGGATACGGGGTCCACCATTTTATATTCAGGGAAGCCTGGCTTTTTTGTGAAAAAAATCATTTGGTCAGAATATACGAGGAAAAACCTCACACACATACATACATGCACACACTACCACCTCCTCCCAAATCAGAATGGATAGGCTCAACCCTAAACTTATGTTGTTGTGATTTTTTTCAGAAAACAGCAAGGGCGACTTATCAGTTGTTTAAGTCACAGGCATGGATAAAGCGGACACATCAAGGCAAGATGACCACAGTTGGAGAACTGTGTCAGTTCTACCCTTGACCTTGACCTCTCCCCATCACTTGTTTACAACGATATATCTACATGTAAACAAGAAACAAGTCTAAAACCAGTTTCAAGCAGTTCATTATTTTGTCCTGTTCCTGTCTAGTGATCAATGTCAGTTTAAATCATGTAACAAATCAATTTCATGGTAACTCCATATTTGGTCATCTAAATAAACCTTTTGGTAAAAAAAGTAAAATGACTATATTTGGTCATCATCTATCCAAAAGATGAGTACCTTATTTGATCACACCTCCATCTTCTGCATATAATTAAATCCATATGTTTTCACTTGCATATTTTAGCAAAAGATCATCGGTTTCTGGGGAAGCATGATCACTATTACCCAGAACCAAGTTAAGGTGCAAACCTTCACCCAGTTTGATGAGTTAGTGCAAATTGTCTTCAAGCCATTCCACCTCCAACAAACACATTTTCTCCATGGTGTCTATGTACAGATTGATGATGAAAACCACATCTCTCATCCCTGTTGAAATGATCGAGGAGTGAGTGAGTGAGTGAGTGAGTGAGTGAGTGAGTAAGGGTTTATGCTGGTTTTAGCAGTAATCTTAATCAATGTAGTTGATGCCAAGTATTGTAAATCACGTAATTAATGCGTCATGAAATTAATGGTCATGCCGATCCCTGTCCTAAAATGCATCGTGCGAGTAGACCTATACATTCAAAGGGTTGTCACATGAGTTGGTTCAAACCTTTGAACAGTGTTGTGTATTCCTCACAACTGCTGTTACTGAACTGGACATTTTCACCACGTGGGTGAGCAGTGTTTTTCTTATAATTATTTGACAAGGTTACCAAGAACAAAGATGCCATCAAACATAGTTGGTGACTGTCAGTACAGCTTGATCAGCTCCTGAAAACACACTGACAACACTAGAACTCAATTACGTTATTACTGGGAGTTTATCATATACATAATCATTCCGAAATGTGCACTAACCTGACATGACAATAAACGCCAATATGTTCAGATAATGACGCATCCGTTTATTTATGCGAGCAAGGGACACTCACAGTTTTCGCATTAATTTCATGCTCGCATTACTTTCATGATTCATAGAATGGGCTATGACTCACACCATCAGTAACATACCCCATTTTCCATCAAAACCAAAATGGCTTCCTAACCCCATTTCCCATCAAAACCAAAATGGCTTCCTAACCCCATTTCCCATCAAAACCAAAATGGCTTCCTAACCCCATTTCCCATCAAAACCAAAATGGCTTCCTAAGACTGTACCTGTTCACAGAACACCAAGCCATTCGGCGCATCATGACAGTTATATTCCATTTGGGCTGTATGATGGTAGCAAGTCAACATTCTCTGCATAGCTAATGGCATGAGCATCAACAAAATCAATAATTTACCGTATTTGTTGTAAAAAGCACCCTGGGGGGCCTAGAAAAGTGACAGAGACTTATTAAAACCATACACAAGCTAAATTTGTTGTTGGAGATCAAGTGATCGAGTGGTTGGAGATCAAGTAGAGAACCAACTTGGTTCTAACGTCAATGAAGCTCTAACGTTTCTCCAACATAGTTACAAAATAATAATGCCCTTGTCCACTGCAGAGTTATCGTACAGTTTTACGTAGAAGTTGGTGGGGCTGCGTACAGGAGTCAGGTGCTTAATACAGCAAATACAGTATCTTGTTCAAAGTTTGCATATTATTTTTTAAAACATAAACAATCTTCATAATCAGCCTAGATATTTCACAAAGTCAAAACTTGAACCTGAAAGGGAGGGTAGAAATCAATTCTGTTTTAACCATGTAAAACTGACGAAATCATAAACAAGCTCGTCTGGATGGATTGTAAACAACATATTATTAGAGTTATTATTGTAGTTGTTATTATTATTGTTATTTATTACTGAGTTATTTACATTGTAGAGTCACAATGGTACAAATCACACTGAAACTGTACAAAGCAAAATCTGAAAATTGCTGTGTACAATCCCACATTATTCGCTGTGATAACCTGGCCATGTATTGGAGTGAGTATTATGACTGTCAAGTTAGTCTTGGACTTGTATGGCCCCTCCCCAAGCAGCAAGTGTAAAACAACAACACCATCATTAAGGATGCAGATATGGAGGAGCAGGAAGCTGGTGATGATACAGAGTGTATGAGACAGCCTGGAATTCATCACCACCCACCATCATCTCAAATATCTCGCAAAGACACAAGTTGACAATGTACACGACTTCCAAACTTAGAAAACCATTTCAAAATATGATCTTCAATTTCCACAAAACAAAATGATAATATATACTTTTGGTAGAAAATTCCAAACAAATACTTGATAGCGTCTATATTTCCTCCAATCACAGAGGCCCCTTCAGAACTAACTACACATGGTCACAGAACAGTGCATGATGGGAGGAATCAGACTGAGAACGAGGCTGTGAACAGTGCATGATGGGAGTAATCAAAACAAGGCTGTGGGTTGGAGATGCTGAACTGAAGATGAGGCTATGATGAAGTTGGAGATGAGAGTGAGGCTTGGGTGGTCAGCTGATGCTCCAGGTTGGTAATTTCTTTGTCCGTCTCGTGACATTCCTGATCTAGACTTGAGTATTCTTCATCACATATTTTCTGTTCCTCGGTAGATGAAACTCGCTGCCGTTTGTCTCGAACAGCAATTCTAAAAAATAGAAATCCAGAATGTTAGCACAATATGGCCGTGTAATTCCTGCAGCAGCCTGACATAAAAGTCTCCTAAACAATCAATTGAAAATTGTCTTTTTGTTTCTAAACAATCAAATGAAAATTGTCATTTTGTGAAACAACTGTTGGTGTACCATGTCCACATCAAATCATCTATGAAACACTGGGTGGAAATACAGACTTGAAAAATGTTCACTGAAATCTCATTAACTCAACTAATATCAACAAAATCTCTGCTTGTCTTTCTAAATTGGCCATGCAGGTCTCACTGTTTCGAGATTTGACTAAATTCGCAGGCTCACTCAGCAATCTCATTAAAATTAGATCACAGTTCTCGCTATCGCTAAACAAAGATCTGGGCACATCCCATTACGGGTCACGTCAGAACGACCTTTCATCCGACCAATCAAGCGTTGCTTACAAGATCATGATAGTTACAGTCAAAATGTGTTTCTGATCATGCACCCTCAAAAATGTTAACACGGGGTATTCCGAACAACAGTAATGGTCCGTATAACTGATTCTGTCAAAATTATCGTCTATCTATCGCTTTAGGGGGGTAAACATTTGAACGGAGGAGGCGTTGCACAGTACATGGGAAGCACTGCCATACAATCGCAACCATATATTAGACATTCCAGAATGTTCCTTTTTTTAGTTTTCAAAATTTTAATCGAGAACTGTGTCCACATATTTTTCAAGCGTAGTCTGAAATGGAAGTCGCCAGGTTGAAACGAGTGCAGTAAAGCTTGACAAAGCTGCTTTCCTATTGGCTGATGTCGACTTCCTGTTAGTCATTCAGTGGTCTGTCAAAGTTCGCAAAAGGTTGTTCTGATGTGTCCCGAAATGGGATGTCCTCAGATCTTTGTTCAATCTCATTAAAATCAGATCTTAGTTCTCGCTGTCGCTAAACAAAGATCTGAGGACATCCCATTATGGGTCACGTCAGACCGACCTTTTGCGAACTTTCACCGACCAATGGAATGACCAATCAGAAGGCAGCTTTCTCGTGCTTTACGGCCCTAATTTCAAATTGGCGACTACGCTTCGAAACATATTGTGACAAATTCTCGATTAAAAAATTTAAACCTGAACAAACGAACATTCTGGAATCGCTAATAGATGGTTTAGATTGCATGGATTCAGTCGTTACACCCGTAGCTATCGTTCGGAATTCCCCGTGTTAAAGTTTCCGAGGATGCATCATTAGAAAACACATTCCGTCTGTCACTTTCATGATCTGGTAAGCGACGCTCTGATTGGTCGGATGAAAGGTTGTTCTGACGTGACCCGTAATGGGATGTCCTCAGATCTTTGTTTAGCGATAGCGAGAACTTAGATATGATTTTAATTAGATTAATCTTTGTTTAGCGGCAGTGAGAACTCAGATCTGATTTTAATGAGACTGGCTCACTCAGCAATATTCCAGCTATGTGATCGCCATCTGTAACCCAATCCATGGGGTACGAAGACATGCTATCAACCAAATGGCAACCCGACCACTGAATCTTCTCTAAAGACCAGCATAGGTTGGTTGGCATCCATTTAGATACATATATTGGATAAATCTGCAGTTATTATATAAACTCTACACCAGCTAATCATGCTATTTGGGGAAATGTTATAAAAATGATCATCACAAAACAAAAACATTCCTGAATGTATGCAAGCTAAATTCCTGACCACAAACCATTTCAACTGTTTGTCAAATCATTCTTTCTGGTGAACGAAACACACAACTCTTGTGTGAAAAATCCTCGCAAACATAAGTGGTTAACTTCATGACATCAAAAAACAAACACAGTATTAATTGGCAGAAAAAACACATTCTTAATGTGAAGAGGAAAACATGAATGCAACAACCCAACAGATTAGAAAATATTCAAAATCAAACGAATCCTAAAGTGCACTAAAATCTTCAAATTCAAATTTTTTATTGAACTTGAATCTTATTGAGAGTTTGAGTACACACCGGACAAGGGTTATACCATAACATGATGCTACGATTTAGTCATGCAGTTACATGTACCTGCTGAATACTTGATTTCTCTTTCCTTATGAATATACATGTATAGCCAACTTTAGTATCATTTTGTTTACTTATTATGCAACTACTGGGACAACAGGCAAGGAAGACTTGGTGGCAATAAGAGTCTCATGGGAAGACATATACAAAGAATAGGTTGTGCATGCCGAGAAATCTACATGTCAACATGGTGTCAGCCATGATCACACAACAGAATACAAGCCTAAATTCTTATCTTCGTAACACAGTAGGATTCGATCTAAAGTCCTGTAGGAAGAGAAGCTTCAACCAGAAAGTCAACGGGAATGATGACATCCACCTTTGGTGCACACAAATAATATTTCCATTTTGTGAAGGAATGAGTTGCCTCCCTTTACTCAAAGTAGATGGGAGTTGCCTCCCTTCACTCGAAGTGGATCAAGCTCCTTCCCTGGCATGACACCCTCGTTAGAAACATTATCAGGATGAACCTACAATCATCGGTTTCAAGCAGGCCTAAGGGACACAAATATGGCACTTTTTGATATTGTGGCCACTTATTCCCCTACCCTCACCCTCTACCAATAATGAAATGTATTTTTGTAAAAGGAGAAGATCTAGAGGCGCGTGCTAAAATCCTTAAAAGTTGAGTAAAAGATACCGAAAAGATGATTATGATTACCTGCACCTATTTACAATCAGAACATAACTCAGACTTTTACAGACATGAAATCTTAAGGCAGGCAGAGCGACTATATATAAATATAGGCCATCACTATAGAAGAAACCGAATTCAACCTGTTTCTAGGTTTGTCAGCACCATACCCGTGCTCATAGTTTCCCGGAAGTGGACAACATCCAAGACCTGCATCACTTTGGGCTTTCATCCCACATTAAGCTGACACCCCGTGATATAACTGGAATACTGCTAAAAGTGGCGATAAACCGTACTCACTCAAGCACTGAATTGACCTGACCTTGACCTACAGACACAAGCACTTCCTGTATGCTCTATGTATATACATGTATGTGGCAACAATGCATGCTAGCAGGATGGGGACGTCATGAGAACACTCGATGCAGATTAGTGTAACGAGAACACACCTAGTCGTGAGGAACTTGCCTGCACGACAGCAGCTGTACGTGACCTTCACCTTCACCAAAGGTGAGGTCATCTTCCCACAAGTCTCTGAAATGCCAAACCTTGATGCTGCTCAAACGGTAGGTAGTAAGGCATTCTGGGTAGACACACTTGTCCCCCATGATCCATAACATCAGTTCATGTAATCGTTAATTGTTCGCAGGTGACAGAAATATTCACTTTTACATTCAATCATCAATCAGACCCTTCAAGATTTATACTGTCCCGGAAATGAAAATATGTAAATAAACACAAGAGAACAGAACAGGAATTAAACAGAAATTGCGACAAAATATTAAAAAGTTGTCAGATGAAACACTAAGTAACTCCCTCTGCAAATTGAAATCTGGAAGATTGGAGTTTAGAGTTCAAGCCCTGAGATCTTTTTGCACTAGTTTCTCACTGCCAAACGGTAACTGTTACAGAATTATATTGAAATAAAACGGAAAAGCAGGACAATAGTAGCAATTTGCTTGCATAAATTCAGTCTTCTCCATGTCAGTGGCTGAGTGGTCCACCGCAGATGGCGTAACGAAATGTTTAGTCAGACACTGGTACTTCTTGAAAGGTCAAACGTGAACTAACACAACTGTGCCATGTATGATGCTGTGGCTGGAGTGTGATATCACGACAATTATTTACTGCTGGCTTGATTTACATCCTAAATATTGGGCAGACAAAATGTTGTTTGAATGACAGGTTTTCCAATTGGCCTGAACCTTTTTCCTCCCTAATGTTGTATCTGCCACTGATCAGGTTAAATACCATTCTGTAATTTTTCTTTTACCTTTTGCGCTTGATCTGCACTAGTTTCTCTCTCAGTCGTCCAATCCTGTGTTGAATATCCTTGTCAAAATCCACTGCTGATGAGCTAGACTTGGTGTCTGAGACTAAAAGAATAAAAAGATCAAATTAATTATGAATTCATCTATCATTCAGGAAAATCAAACAACATATCATTAAATATTTCTTTAAATAAAATAATGAGAGATTTTTGGTTTTGTAGACCAGTTGTGAATTGGGCTTTTTTAAATTTATTTGTTTTGGTATTGTTACTTTGTAATTTCAATTAGTTATTGATTCATCCTTAAATAATAATGCATAGGCATATACAAATCACACATATAAAATAGTATCTTCTTTTTTAACTTGGAATAAAACATTTAAAGGACTAACAATGTCTTCTCTTGAATATTTAATCAAATCAAACAACAGCATTATTATTAATAATGATAATGAATATCTTAACAAATTCTCTTTGAAAATGTTCATGATTATCAAATAAAAACATGATTTAACTCATTGTGATTGACCATGATTTGATGTACACAAAAAAATATTCCACACGTAACAGTGGCTCTGACCATCAGAAAAGGGGGGTAACTCTGTTCATGCACACTACAGAGTGAGGTCCCCTTGAAATGCACACCAGTGGGAAACAAAGGATGGAGAGCCAACTTGTGCAGTGGATATGGCAAGGGCACCTCTTATATTAATCTTGGTAAATTTAACAATCATAACTAAATATATGTAAGTTCAAATTCTTTCCTTAAGCTTAAAAATTTAGGAAGTTAATACCTAATGTAAGGAGATGAAAGATTGTTTCGCAAAACAAATTGGCTTAAAACATAAATTTACACTTCTTTCAGATAAATTACATATATATCTATTATCAACATATTTGGAGTTTGTGATAAACAAAATTACATGGGATTTGTTTGTACATGGGAATTGTTTGTCTCATGAAACCCCAGTGAGTACATAATTACAATGGAAGGGAGACAACTCCTACTATTCTACACAGAGCATTCTTAATGAGTTATTGAAATGACGAGTACACAAAGTATTGTCAAATGATTTAAGTGTGAAAATGTCAAAGATTATGAAAGAAATATGTATATTTAGGTGCATTCATAGATGTAGATGAAAGTTTGATGAAATGAATGAATGTTTCATATTGTTTCAGAGCATCATCAAAAGTAGTTGTAATACTGCCAGTATTTATTCATTTCTGTATTTCAGATCAGCCCAAAAGTAAATAAAGTCACTTCATGGCAAGGAATTTGATAGGCATTGTAGATCATACACAGACACAAGGTATTTGTGTTTTTCACCTTCTGTAATGTCATAGCAAGAAGTTGCCTCAAAACCTGTTTACAGGAGTAAAGAAATCAAAACGAAGTGGCAAAGTTTTCAGAAATAATCTAAAATAACAATACCTTCTGTTCTGATTAATCAGTACGAGGTGAATTTATAAAAGATCATCAGTGCAGTATTTCAAGTGCCATCTTCGTCTCAGAATAATATTGTGAACAGAACAGAAATAAGTACATATCTATCAAAAAATACAAAAAAACATTGCAACATTTGGAAAGTAAGGCCAAGAATGTGAGTCTATAGTCCTTCAAAAAGTCAGTCACATCTTTTATGTGGTACTTTGTCTGCATCGCCCCCTGATACAGAAACACTAGACAAACATCTACTCTCTAAAAGGAACATATCGTACACAAAAAAAAGTTTTTAAATTATCTGAATTAAAACATAATAAAAAGGAGCCCTGAGACCCTCTTCATTTTCAGATACTGCAGTAATCTAGACTTGCCAAACATTATAGACTTGCATGGGCTCTATTTGATATATTTGTGTACAAATTTGTACTACAGAAAGCAAAACGTAATACTGACCCAGTTCCAAATAGTTTTGATATTTGCTCTACTAGGAGAAATACAGATGAGAATGGATGCACAAGATCATGAAATGTTTTAATCACTCAATTGTACCTCATGAACATGTTGTGGTCTTGTTATATCCGACTCACAGCTGAAATAAATTTCTCCAAACACACATGTCCCAATTTGTGATTGGCACAATCAGGTTGGTTCATCAACAGAGACTCCACATATCACCAATTAGTACATTCCCCTTTACCTGTCTTCATGTCCACTGTGAGGAGCTATACTACTTCCATACAACTAGCTATATGAACTGGGCACCTCAAACAGCCTCCATCACCAGCATACTATCATCACTTGGACTCAATATAGTTACAGCATCACAACACATCAAAAGCTGGAACCAGCAAGGTTTGTGGATCTTGGAGTAGAAGCGTGCTAAGAATCTATCAACTCAACAAAGAGACCTACAAAGCAGATCGAAGATGAACAAGACTGGGTTGTCTGGGGACATTGGCATTCTAGCAATCAGATCCTATGAAGTAGGCATCGCTACAGTATCGGCTACATAAAGCAAAATAAAATTCTACATATGGGAGAAAAAAAACCATTCCAAACAGCTACTGCAAAATAAAATGGCATCGTTTTTCAGAATCTTTAAAGAAATGCTTCATGACCTATTTAGGATGTGATGTAGAAGTATCATGAACCTGTCACAAGATGAGATTTGTTGACTGGACCAAATATCAAAATTTCAGAGAAGATATTCCAATTTTCTACACATGTGTAACTTTTCCTTGTCATTTAATAGCCGGGCTATTGCAACAATAATGTTGACTCACTTCCAGTTCTAGGCTGAATTCAAATGCAATTATTTCAATTTCTTAGACATACACAAGCAATTTTTCATTTCCAGGATTTCACATAAATTATTTATGCAAATAATTGTTCAAACCTAATTGAAAGACATTTTGATTTTTTTTTCAAATAGACAAATAGAATGCATCAATTGATGGCCTTCCCAGTCTTGAGCCTCTTGTCTACAAATGTTTCAGCAGTGGATGAGGAACAGAGGCTCATAGGACCAAGTGCAGGTTATGAAAATGCAGAGAAAAAGCCAAAAACTGTTACTTTTATTGTGAAAGAGAACTTCCAATCTGGCAAGTGATAGACTGCACATCCTTTCAAAGTCGGCAAAACGGGAGTCCGACCCTGCCACTGGCATGGCAGGAGCTGGACGAGGCGCCACTGTCTCCCTGACAGTTGTCATGGCGACCTCTTTGAGTTGAGAAGACACACAGTCACCACCCTGTGGTTCGAGTGGACTGCCAATCGTCCGCCGGCGTTGCTGGTCGCGGTTAACCTGTGCTTGTGTACGATGCGGCATGCTACGTCGATACTTTGGAAAAGTAGCATGACCAACGTCTAAAGAGAAATTTTTGAAAACGGACTCCAACCCCCAAGCATGTAAAAGACTATCAACCTCAGGGATTTCACTAAACTTACTTTCTGGACTTGTCAATTGTACATCCTCATTCTTGCCATGGAAACTGGAAGAAGTGTCGTTTCCATGACAATCTACAGCAGTTTCTTCCAAATTGTTCTCAGATTGTTCAGTTTCAGCTTCATTATGATTGTCTTCTGGGTTTTCAGCAATGGCGTCTGCATCATCCGAATCAGTCACGGGAGTAGCATTGTACTCCAACCTGTCTGATAAACTGATCATGGAAGCTGTGTTGGATTTGACAGTCTCTGCATCACTACTTGAGTTCAACATGTCGCATTTTGATATTTCAGTGGAATCAGTCACATTCACTTCACTACTTGCACACTCCAATTCCTGTTTCAACGAAGGCTCAGACTCGGAATGTGAAGACGCCTCCTCGGGTATTGTATTTACAAAGCACTGTAGAGAATTATTATTATCTTTTACTTCAATGGCATCATATTCACCACTGTCCTTGACATTGTTATTCTCGAGACAAAACCGTATATGCAACCCCGACCCAACCTCACTTTTCTTTTTGCTGGGTGGACTCTGTGCTGGAAGCAACTCACTTGAATCTTCTTGCGTAGGACTACTCAAGCTCTGAGCTTCCTCCTCACTCCGGATAACACATCCACTGTCACTCTCACTGTCCGAGTTTGAACCCTTGACACTATAAAACCCACTATCTGTTGTATGTTTTCTCTCGTCATATTCCTCGGGACTCTCCGCTGACAGTTCCGAAACAGAGTTCTTCCCCTTCTTTTGGACTTCGGTGTAAACGTCACCATTCTCCACAACGGTGTCAGTTTCCAGGAGGGGAGAAGAAGGAGAAGCATCGATACAGTTCTCCTCCTCGTTCTCTTCCTCCGGGATGTCTTCCTGACTCACAACCATCATCTTGCTGGAACCTGGGGACTTGTCGCCGCCATGTTCCTGCAAATAAACATTTCAACTCTTGAGTGAGTGAGTGAGTGAGTGTGGTTTTATGCCACTTTTAGCAATATTCCAGCAATATCACGACGGGGGACACCAGAAATGGGCTTCACACATTGTACCCATGTCGGGAATCGAACCCGGGTCTTCATCGTGCAAGCGAACGCTTTAGCCACTAGGCTACCTGACCGCCCTTCAACTCTTGATTTCAAATACATGTTATGACTTCGATGAATTAACTTTAACAAAGTTATGTGTCAAGATCTTACAATAAATGACCAGGAATGTATAAGCTGAAAAGAGAAATATTAAATTCAGACAGTCGTCTGAGTGCCAACAATGCCACTGAAGGATATGATTTCAAAAAGGTTCCATTAGGCTTGCCAATTCAAATTATCATTGACCATTATATTTTCTACATTTTTAAGCACTGTTAAGAAATTACATTTTCAACTCAAATGATGTTTTTGCACCAGATTCAAACTTTTTGTGCACACCATGCCATTCATTGGGAGTAAGATTTTGAACATAGTCGTGGTTACCATGGCATCGAGCCCACCTGGGCGGCACAGGATGTGACAAAATATGGTCATGCGGTCATTAGAATCAAGTTTACTTTCCAAGATTGAAAACCTACTTATGATATAAAATAAACAAACCCTCCCCACGACCCAGTCATGAGAAACAAGAATGTATTTCTCAACAGGGTTCAGCTCCACAAAATGACCATAACACTACGACAGTCGTAAGCCCATATCAAAGTATGGGAGTTACGATCACGTTAGCGTTAAGACTGCTTTGTGGAAGGGGCCCTGGACTTTTAAATGGACTGAACTAAAGTCACATGACAAAAAAAATCCATTTCCTGTTCAAAAGGTAAGGGAGGCAACTCTTACCCAGCTTTTTATCACAGAGTAGCCTAACAAGTCGGAGAAGGAGTTGTTGGAATGGATATCGTCGTTGAAGTACTCGTCGAGGCCTTCGGGGATGTGGTCTGTTGCAGTCTCCGCCATGAGGACGTGCACCCAGGGGCCCATCTCATCCTTGTTCAGGGGCTGAGGACAGGAGCACGTGTTGAGGGACAATGGAATAAATGAACACAAGGCCAAACTTGCTTCATTGTTTTGTTTGTGCAAAATTGGGAAAACAAATAAAACAGTAACCAAAACAGTAATATGAATATTTGTTACCATGTAAGTATTGTAAAACAAAATTGTCATTTTACCTATTGTAAGCTTTTCTTTGAAGATTAACCTATTATATGAACAGTCTGTTTGCAGTGATCACATAAGTTTTAATTTGAGGAATATAAAGTGACAACTTTTCATTTTCAAATATTTTTTTGGCTTTTATGTTTTAACTTTGGCAGAATAAAACATTGAGAAATAAGGTAAGTTGATTTTGTCAGATGGAAAACTTGAAGGACCACCACACCCCTAAACTAAAGGAATTAAGATTTTTATCCGACATCAAACTTTTGAAATGGTCCCTAACTATGGCTAACTGGGTCCAAACTGCAGCTCGCTGCTGCTTCTGTCTAACAGCGTGCACTTGGTGAAGGCAGACATGACATCATCCAAAGTAAATGTCCTTATGAACTAGTCGAGAGTGCCTTTATTTCCAACCCAAAATGTCCACATGAACTAGTCAAGACTGCCTTTATTTGAGACCCACTGCAGTCACTGCCTTGGGATAGGGTTAACAGCTTAGAAATCAATGTCTGGTTCATCACATGACACATCAAGATTGTTTTGAAATTTAGTTCATCCACCAAAAACCTGAAAATTGTAAGAGGGAAAACACAAAAGCTGGTGAGTGAGTGAGTGAGTTGGGGCCTCTTGTGTCACTATTTCAGCTGTATCAAGGCAGCAAGTTAAACTTTGGATGAAAGCTAGCCTTTAGGGAATGCAGGCCAGTGAAACCCATGAACAAAGATATGGTGCTGACAAACCAAAGAGGACAATCAGAGAAAATCGGGCATCCAAACCACAATCACTGGATCCTGGTGCATATAAGGGGCACAACTCCTTCACAGCAAACTGAGGTGCTCTTAAATGAAACCCACAATGGTATAAGTCTGACAACGAAAGGTTCATGATGGGAAGAATCTGAGATTTGAACCCCAAAAAGCAAACCAACTCCCTTAATCACTCTTCAACATTTGCTGACTGTACAAGGTGACCTTCGGGAATGGGGTGGTCCGGCTTGGAGACTTGGTTGATAGCATGGATTGTAGTTCATAATATCAAACACTGGTTTGGCTGTTCTGACTTCAATGCATACAGGCTGCCTGTCACATAGAAGCAATATTACTGCGTGCGGCATTAAACAACAAACCACTCCCTATGTCCTACCTCCACAGTGATCTTCTCCTTGCCGTCCTCAAGCAGCATCAGTGCGTACTCACTGCTCGTCTCCGTCACGGCACGACGAAACACACAGTTCTTCAACAACAGATTCAGCTCAAACTGCTTGGACTTTTCATTACGGTAGCACTCGAACATGTTCTCCCGCACAAGACACCAGCGCTTACCCCAGCGTCGCCGATTGAAGGAGCTAAAGATGTTCAGATAACCTGAAAAAGAATTATTGTAATTGGTGTTGTCTGTTATATTGGAGTGGAGCCTCCATTATCTATCACATTGTCAGGAGCGGAGCCTCCATTATCTGTCACATTGTCAGGAGCGGAGCCTCCATTATCTTATCATTGTCAGGAGTGGAGCCTCCATTATCTGTCACATTGTCAGGAGTGGAGCCTCCATTATCTGTCACATTGTCAGGAGCGGAGCCTCCATTATCTGTCACATTGTCAGGAGCGGAGCCTCCATTATCTTATCATTGTCAGGAGTGGAGTCTCCATTATCTGTCACATTGTCAGGAGTGGAGCCTCCATTATCTGTCACATTGTCAGGAGTGGAGCCTCCAATATTTGTCACATTGTCAGGAGCAGAGCCTCAATTATCTATCACATTGTCAGGAGTGGAGCCTCCATTATCTGTCACATTGTCAGGAGTGGAGCCTCCATTATCTGTCACATTGTCAGGAGTGGAGCTTCCAATATTTGTCACATTGTCAGGAGCGGAGCCTCCATTATCTATCACATTGTCAGGAGTGGAGCCTCCATTATCTGTCACATTGTCAGGAGTGGAGCCTCCATTATCTGTCACATTGTCAGGAGTGGAGCCTCCATTATCTGTCACATTGTCAGGAGCGAAGCCTCCATTATCTGTCACATTGTCAGGAGTGGAGCCTACATTATCTGTCACATTGTCAGGAGTGGAGCCTCCATTATCTATCACATTGTCAGGAGTGGAGCCTCCAATATTTGTCACATTGTCAGGAGCGGAGCCTCAATTATCTATCACATTGTCAGGAGTGGAGCCTCCATTATCTGTCACATTGTCAGGAGTGGAGCCTCCATTATCTGTCACATTGTCAGGAGTGGAGCCTCCATTATCTGTCACATTGTCAGGAGCGAAGCCTCCATTATCTGTCACATTGTCAGGAGTGGAGCCTCCATTATCTGTCACATTGTCAGGAGCGAAGCCTCCATTATCTATCACATTGTCAGGAGTGGAGCCTCCATTATCTGTCACATTGTCAGGAGTGGAGCCTCCATTATCTGTCACATTGTCAGGAGTGGAGCCTCCATTATCTGTCACATTGTCAGGAGTGGAGCCTCCATTATCTATCACATTGTCAGGAGTGGAGCCTCCATTATCTGTCACATTGTCAGGAGTGGAGCCTCCATTATCTATCACATTGTCAGGAGTGGAGCCTCCATTATCTGTCTCATTGTCAGGAGTGGAGCCTCCATTATCTGTCACATTGTCAGGAGTGGAGCCTCCATTATCTGTCACATTGTCAGGAGCGAAGCCTCCATTATCTGTCACATTGTCAGGAGTGGAGCCTCCATTATCTGTCACATTGTCAGGAGCGAAGCCTCCATTATCTATCACATTGTCAGGAGTGGAGCCTCCATATCTGTCTCATTGTCAGGAGTGGAGCCTCCATTATCTGTCACATTGTCAGGAGTGGAGCCTCCATTATCTGTCACATTGTCAGGAGTGGAGCCTCAATTATCTATCACATTGTCAGGAGTGGAGCCTCCATTATCTGTCACATTGTCAAGAGTGGAGCGGAGTTATTATTTCGAATGCCTTATATTTTTACTCGTTAAGTTCAATTATCAGATCAAATCATAAAATTTCTAAACCTGGAGCAAGTGTACAGGCTGCTCAGCCAAACAGCATCAGATTTCTAAACTACAGTAAGGAATATTTTACAACTCACAGTTTTCACAGTTTGGATGACACATAATTTGACAGTTTGTAGGAGAAATTGTTTGACTTCTTTGAATGACACAAATCATTTGAGTTTGTATGACAAATTGTTTGAAAGTTTGTATGACCCAAATTGTTTGACAGTTTTTATGATAATTTGTTTGACATATAAGAAACACTTTCATTCCCTATGTGCCCCATGAATCAAACATTTGGTTGAAAGACATGTACAGGACATTGGACATTTTGGGGGTAAGGAAACAAGAAACACAAAAATGTTAGAGAAAAATTTCAAAGTTAGGATTCAACAAAAACATAAAAATTGTCAAAACATAAAAAGGTATAATGTATAATGTTAATGTTGTGTATAATGTTAATGTTTGTTATGTATAATGTTAATGTTTGTCTTATGTATAATGTTAATGTATGTGTTATGTTTAATGTTAATGTTTGTGTTATGTATAGTGTTAATGTTTGTGTTATGTATAGTGTTAATGTATGTGTTATGTATAATGTTTATGTTTGTGTTATGTATAATGTTAATGTATGTGTTATGTACAATGTTTGTGTTATGTATAATGTTAATGTTTGTGTTATGTATAATGTATGTGTTATGTATAATGTTTATGTTTGTGTTATGTATAATGTTAATGTATGTGTTATGTATAATGTTAATGTTTGTGTTATGTATGATAATGTTTGTGTTATGTATAGTGTTAATGTATGTGTTATGTATAATGTTTGTGTTATGTATAATGTTTGAGTTATGTATAATGTTTGTGTTATGTATAATGTTAATGTTTGTGTTATGTATAATGTTTGTGTTATGTATAATGTTAATGTTTGTGTTATGTATAATGTTAATGATTGTGTTATGTATAATGTTTGTGTTATGTATAATGTTAATGTTTGTGTTATGTATGATAATGTTTGTGTTATGTATAATGTTAATGTTTGTGTTATGTATAATGTTAATGTTTGTGTTATGTATAATGTTTGTGTATGTATAATGTTTGTGTTATGTATAATGTTAATGTTTGTGTTATGTATGTTTGTGTTATGTATAATGTTTGTGTTATGTATAATGTTTGTGTTATGTATAATGTTAATGTTTGTGTTATGTATAATGCTTGTGTTATGTATAATGTTAATGTTTGTGTTATGTATAATGTAAATGTTTGTGTTATGTATAATGTAAATGTTTGTGTTATGTATAATGATTGTGTTATGTATAATGTTTGTGTTATGTATAATGTTAATGTTTGTGTTATGTATAATGTTTGTGTTATGTATAATGTTAATGTTTTGTATAATGTTTGTGTTATGTATGTTAATGTTTGTGTTATGTATAATGTTAATGTTTGTGTTATGTATGATAATGTTTGTGTTATGTATAATGTTAATGTTTGTGTTATGTATAATGTTAATGTTTGTGTTATGTATAATGTTAATGTATGTGTTATGTATAATGTTATGTTTGTGTTATGTATAATGTTAATGTTTGTGTTATGTATGATAATGTTTGTAATATGTATAATGTTTGTGTTATGTATAATGTTAATGTTTGTGTTATGTATAATGTTAATGTTTGTATTCTGCATAAGTTATTGATGTTATTGTGTGTTACTGAATAGATCAACATGCACAACTGTCACATCTCTAAATACAGGCTCTGAGCGAGAACATATCCCGGACTGGCAAACTATTCTATATAAGATCACAACAACTCGTTATAATTCCTGATTAACTCTTAAATCAGCATTGTGTGAGGTATAGACACTCAGTGTACGACAGCAATAGTGGTACCACAGTGGCACCGTTTTTCTAAAAGTGCTTTTCACAATTATAAAAGAATTTCCTGTTTGTCATTCACCCCCATTCTCTTGCCAACATGCTATACTCCTCACAACATTCTCATATAAATAAATGATATATTTACTTATGAAATTTTGGGCTCGGACTGTATTGTGTTAAGATGTCATGCGGTTAATAGTCCCAACTAACCTTGGTGTTTGGTGCTGCAGGGAACATCTATGGCCACCTCAGGTGAACCAGGGTCGTCAAAAACAGGTGTACAAGAATCAGAGAGTGATGAAAGGTTAGCTGGTGCGCTCTCCGAGGATAACGAACGCTCCTCCGCAATACCAGAAGTTGAAAGGTCGTTGTCAAGGGGAACACTCAAACCTGCCAATTTCCTCTTCCCGCTCTTCTTCCCCAAACTTTCGAAAAATTGTGTTGCCCTGTAGGCAAAGGATCCCATTCTCATCACCTTGTTGCCTGGAAACAAGAGAGAGAGAGTCTTACGTGCCTTGTACCATCTCCAAATATCCAATCACAAGAACCGTTACATCTTGTAAAAGGACAAGAGTCTCTCACAAATGGGTTGACGTCGTCCTACAAAGTGTTGCCCTGAATTGTCCAACCCAGAGTCTGACAATCAGATGACAGTGAACTACGGTTATAACGCACTCAAAGGGACCACTAACTTTAGTTAAAGGCTATATTTATTATATCTGGAACATGTCAACAAATGTGTAAAGATTTTCATTGTATCAAGTTAACCAGATTCGTCTACTGACTTAAGGTGGGTCCTGGCATATGGTTTGTTGGAAGGGTACTTGAATCTAGAGACCCCTAAATCTTTAACTTTTAACATGAGGGTTATGATAAGGACCCTATCATGCTTAAACAGTGCAATGCATTAAAATCAAAACACTAAATAACCTTCAACAGTCATTTTATGTTCCTTCTTTCAATCTAGTATAAGAGTTATCTCCCTTTCACTGCCAGCTGTCATTTCTTTCTGTGGCGATAAGTAAGATGAACTTGCATAAAGGGCTCAATTTTGAATGTAGATGTGTACCCCCTTGTGAAGCTATGGTGGGTATGAGTCAAGGGTACATGATACCAGAATGGAGACAGTATTCACTGTCTGATCGAAGATGCAAGCAGTGTTGACAACTGAGATGAAAGGGTTACCTCGCAACTTGGCCTTCCCGTCCTCCGCCCCGAAGCCGTCGCTGGACATGGACAGATTGGAATTGGAGGCATTCAGGTCCGGCTGAAACAACCAGCAATATTTACAATCACGCTGCACTTTCAAATTCCCATCCACATTCAGATTTCCCAGCATTTGCTGGCACGTTTAGCCACGCCAGGGATGCCAGTTGTAAGTTTTACATCTTCCCGTGTGACTTCGTACTTCAATGTTGTGGAATAAGGTGGCAGAGCAGCTCGAAAAGCCTACTGACTACAAAACACAAACTAATATCCCAAAATGACAAGTGCATGACCATAAACATATTTAATCCTTTAACAGTAAGTGTCTTTACTTAAAACTTTAATCCAGTTACCAAGACTACAAGCCTGACGTCTAAGACTCAGAGTTTCGCCCCTTGGGCATGCCAGAGATCTATGATTGTGGGTTCGAATCCCGATTCGTCCCGTTTATGTTTCTAGGTTTGTCAGCACCATACCTGTACTCGGGGGTTTCACCGAAGTGGTAAATGTGTAAGAGCTGCATCACTTCGGGCTTTCCTCCCACATTTAGCTTACACACCGTGATATAACTGGAATACTGTTAAAAGCGGCGTTAAACCCAACTCACTCACTCACTCTTGAAACATTAGTGTTTGTTAACCAGTTTGTGTGGAAAAAGTCACATAGGGCTGAAAATGTTTTCCATCATAAACTGTTTTTTACATCGGGTGCTGTATTAACAAAGCTCCAATACTTGAGAAAATACTTATTCAAACCGTATCTAGTTGACCTATAAATCATAAATCAAGAAATTTTTAAAGTTCCTACTTAAAAAAATATATCACAAGATCCAAACAGTGATTCATTAATTCATGATACTCTGGCTTTAATAATTTGTTTAAAAAAAATAAACATTCACAAATATGTATCTTGAACAAGATTTCAAATGATAGTAAAGATATATCAATCTAACTACTGACCCATGCCTACATTCTGACATGTCACCATGCAGGATACTCCTTCACACACACACAGGAGCGTCGTCATCACGGGGCAGGGGAAAGGAGTTTAGACCTCACATTCATCACTATTGCATTTATATAGTGCGTGCGTGTGTGTGTGAGGTTCTGTGGTGTTTGTGTGTGTGTGTGTGTGTGTGTGTCTGTGTGTGTGTGTCTGTGTCTGTGTGTGTGTGTGTGTGTCTGTGTCTGTGTGTGTGTGTGTGTGTGTGTGTGTGTGTGTGTGTGTGTGTGTGTGTGTGTTTGTGTCCCTGTGTCTGTCTGCTTGAACTAATTCAGACAAATGGACCAGTGTGACACAGTATAGTGACTCTGAGCAATGCTTAACCCTTTAATGCCAAGTGCCAGGCAGGGTAACAACAAGTACCATCTGTTAACATATTTTGGTATGACCAACCAGGGATCAAACCACCTCCAGGCTCTGGGCAGACACTCTATTTTGGTATGACCAACCAGGGATCAAGCCACCTCCAGGCTCTGGGCAGACACTCTATTTTGGTATGACCAACCAGGGATCAAGCCACCTCCAGGCTCTGGGCAGACACTCTATTTTGGTATGACCAACCAGGGATCAAGCCACCTCCAGGCTCTGGGCAGACACTCTATTTTGGTATGACCAACCAGGGATCAAGCCACCTCCAGGCTCTGGGCAGACACTCTATTTTGGTATGACCAACCAGGGATCAAGCCACCTCCAGGCTCTGGGCAGACACTCTATTTTGGTATGACCAACCAGGGATCAAGCCACCTCCAGGCTCTGGGCAGACGCTCTATTTTGGTATGACCAACCAGGGATCAAGCCACCTCCAGGCTCTGGGCAGACACTCTATTTTGGTATGACCAACCAGGGATCAAGCCACCTCCAGGCTCTGGGCAGACGCTCTATTTTGGTATGACCAACCAGGGATCAAGCCACCTCCAGGCTCTGGGCAGACGCTCTATTTTGGTATGACCAACCAGGGATCAAGCCACCTCCAGGCTCTGGGCAGACACTCTATTTTGGTATGACCAACCAGGGATCAAGCCACCTCCAGGCTCTGGGCAGACACTCTATTTTGGTATGACCAACCAGGGATCAAGCCACCTCCAGGCTCTGGGCAGACGCTCTAATTTGGTATGACCAACCAGGGATCAAGCCACCTCCAGGCTCTGGGCAGACACTCTATTTTGGTATGACCAACCAGGGATCAAGCCACCTCAAGGCTCTGGGCAGACACTCTATTCACAAGACCATGGAGACAACCCTACATCACAGGCACTCTGACACATGATGCCGCTTCATCGGCAAATCTCATAAAGAATTCATCAAAAGAGCTATATCACTAATTAATGATGCACAGATTAAAACTAGAACTGACAGAATCTTTGGATGGAGGTGATATAAGTTCCTAGAATACTGTCCCAGAACTATTAATTGCTTCTCTTTTTAGGTAATGAGGGCGTTAAAAAGCAGCATTGCTGTCTACATTAATCATGAAGATAAATAGCTGTCATTCTACCATGAATTTGGAAAATACTCAGTTTTGATTCGACAATCAGAGGTATCAAATTACAATAACCCCCTCTGATTGAAACAGACGATTTGACACCTGCATCACCGCGGAAGCTAATATCTTTACAACAGTACTTCATTTACAATCATTCTCAGTAGGCATATTTTAATAATTACATGTACAATCACAGGCTACAAAATGCAAAGTTGCTGTTACTACAACTTTCAAAGAATATGTGGCAATACATGTCATGCAGAAAACATGATGCACATTTTGTTCCAAATTTAATTTAGCGCAGTTAAACCTACAGGTAACCATGCTCTACATTGAACACGGTATGTATATCTCCTTATTTATACATCGCAAAACAACAACATCCTTGAAATAGTTAAAATAACTCAAAACGTATCACATTAACAAGTTGCAGCTGTCTTCACGTTTTTATCTTTTTTAGACACAGTATACCGACTCCAAGCCGACCAGTCCTTGTTTTAGCCCTTTATGCTGAGCGCAAGGCAGGGTAACAACAAGTTCCATTTTTTAACGTCTTTTGGTATGACGCGGCCGGGGATCAAAACCCAGGACCTTCTGCTCACCGGGCGGACACTCTACCACGAGACAACGCAGGCGGTCCAATCTCAAATAATGTAGCACGAAACCAACAATGTGTCTGATGAAGGCCGGGAGGCTGAAAGCTCGACAGTGTATACATATATGTATCTATTTGAATCTATTTCTCCTAAGGCAATGAACACAAAAGAAGACCAAATAAACAAACAGTAAATGGCCATTTGTATTTATGCTGCGAGTGCCGATTTATTACAACAACGTATTCCATCATCATGATGAAAGGAGGTGAATTAGTAGCAATTATTGTGCGTGTTGTACATTATTGACAAAATGTCAAGCACATAATTATCTGCAGAATTAATTACTGAGCCAGTAATAGGATGATTACGATATAGCCACATGCATCAACTACAAGAACATGTGTTAAAACAGATTGGATTGTTCACGATTTCAAGATTTAGTGTAACCACAGCCACCTCCTCCCAGCGATGTTCTGTCCTTACACTAAAAAAAGAGTCAGTTGATTGGACAAGTTTTCATGTGTTTTTTTCAAAGGTGTGCAAATTACAAGATGCTTTAGTAACTGTAGTGCTAACTGAGACACTGACTCCGTGTAGTTGGGTAACCGTACACTGTTAGCCTGTAAACGTCAGGGAACTGGAGCTAGCAGACAAAGGTGATGTTTCAGGGAGTCCTAGAACTGCCATTGCCCCAAACACAGCCCTCTCCAAACTTCCCTCACTACAGAATGTGTTCCTGGCCTCATCAGAGCCAAAGAAAATGATGATTGCTTCATCTGTTGTTTGTTTGTTGTTTAAAACCGACTCAGCAGCCTGCAAATAACCCAATCAGGAGGAGACAGTTTGATACTGAGCAATGATCAGGACTGATGACATGCACTCATCAGCAAATGGCCAGAGTGGGAAGGTCGTGAGAAGGTCATACCAAGGTCTAAGAATGCACGTTTGTTTAGAACAAGTACCATCTTTTAACATCTTTTGATATGACACAGCCCAGGATTGAACCACAATCCTTCTGCTCTCCAGGCAGACACTCTATCAGCTAGACCACGGGTGTGGTCAGGCAGTGAAGAACCAGTTAACAAAGCAATCCAAGTACCGGAGGAAAATAATGTTAAAGGCTTTGTGCTAAGTTGGCTTTCATGAACAGTTTCATGAAGTGATCTCAGCACCATGGCTATCATAACTCGAATACAATTGCATCGACTTTCATAACTCTAAAACTGATTTATGAAAAATATGTCCTGTATTTTGGTCTCAAACACCAGATGAGTTGATAAACTTCTGTACCAATTTTAATGCATCTCCTGGGTAAAGTCACAGATAGCCAATGTGGAACGTTACAGGTGTTCTATATCATCAGTTCACTGTTAACCCATCTTAAGGAATTGCCTGAAGCTACACGTATACAAACATCAAAGAAACTATGATCCTGATGACAAGCCACGATAGAGAAATCTTGTACAAAATAGTCTGAATGTGTCTGAATCAGACATGCAAACACTTCGTCATATTTGACTTGCATTTTTTTCAGTGACCTGCCAAAGACCTTAAAAAATTTCCTCAAACGACCTAAGCTTCATTGAAATACTTCAACAAAGGTTTGTGAATTATCAATAAATAAGTACACAAAGATCTAAACATAACTTTTACTAACACGGTTAAGCAAATACAGTAGTCCTCTATGGGACACTGGTCTCAAACAGATGCCGGCCGAGTCTTAAACAGAAGTTGGGTGTCACATAGAAGTTCAGTCTCTAATTCATGCCGAGTCCAAAATAGAATTTTGAAACCATCGATACAAATCAATCAGAAATAATTATTGTTTATATCGAAACACAATCATGATGATGAACTGTCTGCATTTATCACTGGTTTTAACTGAGTTTCTGAGGCTAGTATGAACCAGTTTTCATAATGCATGACATGTTCATCTAAAGCGCATGGCAACGACACTGCCCTGGTGTAGGGCTTGTTTCA